ATGTAGGGGCCGCTGCGTGCTCTCACGGCGCTCATCGGTCGTTGCATCGCCGTCCATTCGCTCTCACGGCGATGGTAAGACCCGTTTCCATACCCTCGCCGAGGTGACGGCGCTCATGGCGCTCTCATCGCGCTCCCACCGCGCTCTGGTCAATCTCAGGTCGCAGAGAGAGCGCCGTGAGAGCGCCGTCTAAGTGGAATGGGGGTATTACAACGTACGATCTCTGTGCGATTGCCACTTTACCGTATGCAGGTCGTACTTACACGTACTGCTTACGTACGGGGCACACGCGTCGACCGTATTGTCTCGTACGGGGGTTGAATCCGCAGCCCGCACGCAGAGAAAGTTTTGCATGCACCTAAAATTCTACGGCACCTGTGCTTGAATACGGGCACGTAGGTTGTAACAAAGAAATTGACCTATATAGAGCTAGCTCTATGGAGCCAGTCGTAAAGGTAACAGGTAAGGTAAGGTAACAGCCGGACTGCCGAATATACATACCTTCACGTACCTAACACCTGCGTGCCGTGATGGGGCAATGCTTGGTCTGCTCTTCGGCATGCATAACATTCGCCACCCAAACATAACTGCGCGGACACAGAGAAGCACAGGTGCCGTACTTGAGAGCAGGCCACAGATCGACGGGTGTTGCAGCCGATAGACTGCTGTCCCTTCCGCAACAACACCCACCGCCGGTTTAACTTTTAACATCTTATTGGGAAGGTCAGTCTTACTCTCTGACTTCCTTTGTTAAATCTTTCATACCTTGCAATTGCATAGTTCTGTACGTACATCTTTATACATGTACGTGTAGGCCGTGGTTAGGGGGGGGGGCAGTACGTGAGCTACCAGCTAAGAACAGGGTTTACCGGCGAAGCTTTGGGCGTGGCATTCACCCTGGGGAGTCCTACTCAAAAGCAGCCCTCTTACACATGCCCTTTGTGTCTGTTGATAGTTGACTGCTGATTCCTGATTCTGAAAATTCTATCCAAACACAAGTAACATTAAATAGCCACACACACTTGTGGGGTCGTGTGGCGCAGCGAAAGAGTGCTCGACTCGGAACCAAGAGGTCTCGGTTCGATCCTGTTAGCTGTTAAACTAACAAATAGGGCAAGGGCGCATACATAAAGATGCAAAAACGACAGCGTTTAGCGTCCAGGGTGTCAGTTTCTTCCAATTTCCTAATTCACATTTTCCCCAAATTCTTCCTTTCACATGTTTTATGTGCACTAAAAACGCCTGGACCTTTTTTTCGGACTATTAATCGGAAATCAAGATGGCATCACAAAAGGTATCACTGTAAATGAACGAGACTGGAAACAAAGTCAACAATACCACGTAACAGTACAGAAAGAAGTAATGCTGTGTAACGGGCGTCTTTCAGTCAGTTTTCAGGACGCCACCGTTTCCGTCTTGGTGTAACTTACAAGTGGAAGGGGGGGGGGGCGTAAAAAAGGGAGTAAAAAAACAGGAATTTGTTCACGTGTGTACGCAGTTAACTGACAGAAAAATAATTACAGTCCACACATTATTCTTCGTGAAAGAGCTAATCTTCCCACGGGCTGAATATTTGGCCCCGCTAAGGCGTTCAAGATGAATGACGTTTTTTTATAATTGTTTTATTGGAAATTCATGCCCGAGGGCTAATTGCAGGAACAGAAGAAACATTTGCTATAAAAAAACAGACAATTAGTACACATAGAACTGCTGATAACTACTAAGAGACTACTAGTAATAGTATAGATAAACTACTACTAATACGTAGTGAAGACAGAGGAAGACAAGTGGAAGGCATCAAACTTTAATGTTACACACAAGTGACGTCACATTATTATGCCCTGTCACTTTTATTGAACAGCTCAATAGTACAGCAGCCGGAAAACTAGACGTCGTGTTTCTTGATAACTTCTTTGGTCATTCTGTTGAATCTTAGAAGAGACAACGAACACACACTTCAGCCGTATTTCGGACTAAGTCACGCTGACTAAGCCTGAAGCGCTCTGTACATTCTTGACTTTCTCCATGACAAGTCCTTTTGTTCTGAGTCTGATCCGGATCCTTCTGGCAGCGAAGTTTGCATACCAGCGCAGCGCACTGAATAGCTTGCCTCTGTTTACCATCACGCAAGAACCATTACCCAACAACACTGAAGAATTTTTAGAGTCAATATTGGCTAGCTGGTGACGTGAAAATGTTTATAAATGTGACATTTTGTCCTCCAAATTCGTAAGAAGTGGGTGTTCATCGTCTCGCATAGGATTGAACAGAATGACCAAAGACGTAATCAGAAAACACGAGGTCTAGTTCCCCGGTTACTTCACTACTTATTGAATACCACAAGTTACAGGGGGTGATGATGTTACGTCGCTGGTGTTTAACATTAAAGTTTCATGCGTTCCACTTGTAAGTTACACCGAGACGGAGACGGAAACGGTGGCGTCCTGAAAACTGACTGTAAGACGCCTGTTACACAATATTACTTCTTTCTGCACTGTTACCGGCCTCTTAAACGACATTACTTAGTACTTAACTGTTCGTATTTTCCACAGGTTAACACCTAGACCAATCAAACAAAACAGGTCAAAAACATGGGGTCTACCCCCGCTCTTCTCGCCGTCTGCTTGGCTGTGGTTCCAGCGTTCATCGCCCAACACGGACAACTCCTCCCATCCGTGTGCCAGACCTGGAACTCAACAACTGTCGTGTGTACAGGGGTATATGATGAATATTTCATACATCCAACCAAGGTGCTTCTGACCAAAGTGCCGCCTGGCATCCCTGAGTCTGTCATCACGGTGGATCTATCTAGTAACAACATAACTAAACTGTACAACGACTCGTTCAGTGGTTTAAGAAATCTGAAATCCTTAGTCCTGTATGGAAATAATCTACAGACGATCGAGGTTAGTACTTTCACTGGGCTGTTGAATTTAGAACGTCTTGATATCCGTGCGTGGGCTGTGGGTACGGACGATAAGGGTATGTATTCTCTTCAAAATGGTCTTTTCCAAGATCTGCGAAACCTGAACTATCTGGCCGTGGTGACCAAAACCGAGATAGTCGGTGAGAGAGTGTTCAGGGGCTTATCTAAACTCACGCAGTTAGTCCTCACTGTGAAAAACAGCAGCAAATTTCCCGATCACATTTTTGATTCTTTGACTTCCTTGGAAAGTATTGCGATAGGAGAATTTTGCACGGGCCGTCCAGTGATCCACATTGGTAGCAGATTCATACTACGACGCCTGCTATGGGCACCGCTGTACAACCTTAAAAAGCTAAGAGTCGTTCTTTGCCCACCAAGAGTCGGTGACTTGTACTTTGGACCCGTATTCAAAAACCTATCTAAATTACAGGCAGTAGAAATTTCATTTCCCGACATCGAACCTCCGATTTTCACTGTTCGAATGTTTCATTCGCTGTCATTAACTATGAAACATTTACTCATCCTCCCTGGGAATAGAGGGAAGATAGGACCCGGCTTGCTGAAGTCACTCACACATCTTCAGGAGTTAAACCTAATTATGAATTACAGATTTGGCATTATGGACGTTCTGCCTGAACTCGAATACACGCAGATTCAAAATCTGTCATTTAGCTTGCCGAAAATTGGCAAAATGATGACGTCTGATACTCTAGCGGGAATAGAAGGTCTGAAATATTTAAAAGGTCTGTTTTTGAATTTGGATGTTTCAGAAATTCATGGTATAAAATCTAACGCTTTTGTGGGTTTGCCACATTTACAAAAGCTGGGTTTGTATGGGAGCCGCATAGCCACTTTACAAAACAAGACGTTCAGCGGACTGTCCTCGCTCACTCATCTTTTTGTGAACTCCGTCAGTGCCTTATGTCAAGGCGCGTTTCAAGGACTGTCCTCACTCACTCATCTTGAGGTGACACATAACTCATTTTCTAGTTTGCCACAGGGCATATTCGAAGACCTGACATCACTTACTCATCTAGATTTGAGCATAAACAAATTGGAAACCTCTCAAGCTCAGCTTCCAAAGACCTTGGACTATCTTGATCTCAGTCAAAATAGTCTAACCACCAGATACAAAAGGGCAAATTGCTTCCACCCAGTATCATTTAACTTCAGTGGTTTAACAAGCGTAACTCATCTAAATTTAAGTCATAATGCAATTACCTTTATTGCCCACGGTTGTCTACCTTGGAATTCATATGCTACGTTTACTGTTTCCGTTATTGACTTAAACCACAACAATATTGGAATGTTGGATACCGAAATTTACTGCATGGCGAGTTTGAAGTACCTTGATCTTTCATTCAACAACATCAAGTCTTTTGATAATTTGGAGAAACAGGATGGCTGTATTAAATCAAACAATCTTGGGTCCTGTTGTCTACCGGCTAGAGACTATAGACATTGCAGACAACCCGTTTCTGTGTGACTGTAACTTAATGTGGTTTGTTGAGTGGGCCCAGCAAAAATACGACAGGGCGCCGAACTTCTACAACCCTTATCCTGACTTTGGTCGAAGCTACAATTGTTCCCTTCCAGCCCGTCTGCGTGGGCGACGTTTGGCAGACGGGTTGATGAAGGAAGAAGAGTCGAAAGACAGAAAGGACCCATCGGAAAGAATGTTCTTCGACATAGACTGTAGTCATGGATTCCGGCCCAACCGCCTCCTGGCTTGTGTGCTAGCTTCTTCGGGTATCTTCGTCGCCATGATGACCATTTTCCTGGTCGACTACAATATCGGTCGTGTTCAATACTACCTGTGGATGTTGGCTAAGTGGATGAGACCGAGGATCGGAGAGGAAAGGAACCAAGAGCCACCCAGATACACACACGATGCCTTTATTGCGTACAACAACCAGGACGTCGGCTGGGTTATACATGAAGCGATAGAGAATCTGGAACCTGACTACAGCCTGGTCATACACGAAAGGGACTTTGCAGTAGGCGCTCCCATTGTGGAAAACATTGCGGATGCCGTAGAAAACAGCCGGAGAACCGTGTGCCTCATCACCAGGAACTTCCTGAAGAGTAAGTGGTGCGAGTACGAGTTCCAGCTGGCCCAGTACCACATGTTTGAGGCCGGGGGAGGAAGGCGTCTCATCTTGGTGTTTCTGGAGAGGATTCCTAACAAAATGCTGAAACGGTTCCGCCATCTGAACGCCGTAATAAAGAGGGACACGTACCTGGAGTGGCCACACGACGTGCGGAAACAGCCGCTGTTCTGGAGGCGGCTGCGAGAAGCTCTGGGCGATCCTCTACCCCGGGATCCAGACCCTCAGCTGGAGGGACAGAATCCGGAACGGAAAATTCCTGAACAGCAGGCACGAGCTCCGATCGAGAATATTCCGGAACAGCAAGAACAGGCTCAGGTCAGGAACATTGCCGAAGTGCAAATACATGGCCCCATGCAAAATATTCAGGAACTGCAAGAGGAAATTCCATTGCCAGAGCCCAACTACCAGTGGTTTGGAGATAGAGATGACGTGCCTCTTCTACCACTATAGATCAAGTTAAAGTTTACTGAGTAGCCAGACTGTTGTTGTTTTGGAGTGTATGTTCGGTGATTCATTTTATAATTACTATTCCAGAAAATTGTATAAAGTCTATGCAACAAAATAGAGTTTTACTTAAAACCTAAACAGTTACTCTATCATACAGTACGTTTTAGAACAACAGTTCATATATAGTATTGAGGTTTTATATTCCCTTATTTACATCCAGATCTTTTCATATTGATTTTTTTATAACCCTGTATAATAAGCCTGTGGTGGACTGTACAGCAGTATGTGGTTTTAAATAATGATGGTAGGGTTAGGATTAGCTAGCATGCCTTTTACGAATTGAATGATTATACATCTTTTAACATTGTAGCATTTCGGCAATTCTTCTGTGTTGTAACATTTGTTCACCTTTTTCAATCTATAAGTGATAATAATTGATATGATAAATGTCATGTGATTTGGATTATTAAAACTGGTTGAATAAACGTCCGTGTTGTATGATTAATGAATCGTTTCGGGATAGGGCTGTGTACGTGTGGAATAAATCGTTTCGGGGTAAACCTTATCCTCAAAAGGCCCTTTTTCATTGGCAGAGGGGTGAACTTGATATACATGAGGCCCATCTTGATTGGTTGAAGGGAAATCTTGAGAGGCCGGCATTGATTGGATGAGGGGAATTTTGATTCTTACGAGGCCAGTCTTGATTGGTTGAGCAGAAACTTGATACTCTCGAGGCCCTTATTGATTGGTTAAGCTCAGGCGGTTGAAACCTGATACCAGGATCATGGAGGCTGGAGGGGGTTATACCAGGGCCATCTTAATTTTTTTAGGGGGAACTGGTTGAGAGGAGGTTGGTCTGCAGGACCGCCATGCTGGACAGAAACGAATGGAAGGGCGTTCAGAGGGGCATCTCATATGCCTATGAAGATGAACTTATGTAATAGCATGTTTATCTGAAGTGAAACCGACACTGTTAACTGTTAACGTTACCTGTTCCGAATTGTTTATGTTCTTGTCGTGAGCTAGCCCTTTATAATAGCCTCCGGCTAGTTGGGCAGTCCTGGCTGTATATATCTGTTTATACAGTCTAATAAATCAAATCAAATCAAACTGAACTGAAATTCACGAAAAAAACACAAAATACGGAAGTCTGAAATCTCTGATTTCTTCAACCACGATGGGCACTATTTTTTTTGTCTTGACAACTCTTTATTAAAAGTTTCTGTACATCAAAAATTAAAATAAATTCTAGCAGAGAATCAACCGGCACTGCGTTATTCGTCTTTCGCATATTCATCGGAATAAAAAGCAATCGAGTTCTATAGCTTATAACATGGGCAGATTTACCAAATTGCCCTAAAACTACGACCGTAACTACCCTTAGCTTTATTGGGTAGACGGCCGGGGTGGTCGTACATGTATAGTAGTCAGCTTTGCGCTACTCTTCAGATACGTTTCCTTACTTAGCAATCATCTATCCCCTGTTGGCAAGACTTTGTCATCAACATAATATAAATGACTAACGTTAACGTCGCGGCCACACTCGTTGTAGACTTTCGTACGATTTTGGTGTGAAAGAAGGCGGTGTCGGTGAGAAGTATCTAACACAACTTTTTTCGTTAACTAAATAGCTGATAATTGCAGAACTATTCTAAGAATGTTCTCAAAGTTGCATGAAACATGCACGCCTATCCCAAAAATCGCACGACGATCGTACAATGCATGGGGCTCTTAGCGTAACCGAGCCATCAGAGCTCGCTGTGCACGGTGGGTCTGACGGGGTTCGGTCTCTTGGCCTTGACGTGGGTCCCCTCCACGAACTTCACGTTCCCGTTATCGTCAACATGGATCGTTGGTCTCTATAAACAACAAAAAACGAACAAAAAGGTTAATTTCTGGCTTCTGTGGAGGATGCAATCCTCGGCTTTCTGAATTCCCCCATGTCGACCACCATTTTTTTCCTGCTGGCGGCTCCTAGTCAGGGGCGTCGACCTTCAGGTTCACCCTGTTTCCTTTTTCTGACCATTTGAACTTGTGTTCTTCTGTCTGTGAGCCTCCCGGCCACGTACTGTCAACGTACTATGTCAGGACAAACAGATACACAACCCAATAGCTCTACCGCCCAATACCTCCGTATTCGGAAGTAAAACGACCAACATCAATCAATCAATCAAACCGCAAGCATCAGGGCAGATGCATGGCGGCTGCAGACATGTCCCTCCAGGATGTTCTGTTTTCTGCAAGCGCTCTCCAGTCAGAATTTGAATATATCTGCATTATTTGCAGTAGAATCTGTAGACATGTCCAGACATGACCAACATCAATGACAGGAATCTATTACAGGTTTCAGAATGGACCACAGGAAGAATAGCTACACTTTGTACGTTAAATGTGTATCCTAATTAAGTCAAAGTCAATACGTATGTCTTACCTTGGGGTCGTGTTTGTGATCCGGCGCGCCGTGGCAGGCGTCCGACAGGTCGTGGCAGAGCTGCTGCTCCAGGTCGGAGTGGTCCGTGTTCATCAGCAGGCTCTCCACCGTACTGTGGTACGTTTCTGTGGATAACAGTTAATCGTTGTTAGTGATATAATCATAATGTAATTATTGATATAATTGTGTGACAGGTCGTGGCAGAGCTGCTGCTCCAGGTCGGAGTGGTCCGTGTTCATCAGCAGGCTCTCCACCGTGCTGTGGTAGGTTTCTGTGGATAAACGTGTCGTCGTTAATGATATAATTGAACTCATGGCATGTAAATGTTCGATATAATGTATTTATTTTATAAAGATTCTTTATTGACACAACAAAAATGTACAGGGACTTTTGTATGGTCTTCTACAACTAAAGATCTAACAAAGCTAAATACATGAATATGTGCGTTATGCACTAATCCAGACCAGTACATGCGTTTCTAGAGGATGAAACATTTTACGATAAGTGTATTTTAAAATGAATTCTTGATAAATCGAATATTTGTTAGTATTACTTTGTACTCAAATTCTAAAAACTGCTTGTAAATTCAATACAATTCAGGCTATATGTAAGTCTGCCGGTTGAATAAAGATTCGTTTTTTAAAGCACACAAAAAGTGCGGCAATAAGGGGTCTGACCAATGGGAGAGTGGCTCCATATTTACGTTTTTATTTTTTATATAAATAGAATATCTGTTACTGAAAATCACTAAGTGGGGGTTTCTAAAACACTTTACTTTTACTAAGGCACTGTATAGGGTTTTTCAGAATATGTTTACCGAAAAGCACTGTGTGAGAATTTTAAGAAAACTTTTGCTATCCAGTTCCCACTATGCTAGTTGACTTACCCAGCAGCTGCAGACAAGCCTCCACGTACTTCCCCGGGACGTACTTCAGTCGGTTGAAGTTGTCGTGTTTGCAGGTTGTCTCCATGGCCTTGGCCACTTTGTTGGCGTGAGACTGGTGCCTGTTGTCTTTAGACTCAACCACTTTTATCAGTTCTATACATAAAAAAAAAAACAACAAAAAATAATGGCTGCTCACTTTGCTTGAGGAATAATTCGCAATTTGTCATTTTCATAACTAGAAAACTAGACATCATGTTTATAGTTTTGCTAGCAATTGTCTGACAGTAAAATGTTACCTCGTATGATACATTACAAAATCGCATGAGCAAGGCTTTAGTACGTTTGGTACCTGCAGCTTCAACTAATTATTCCGCTTCCTTAGGACAACCGCATTAAACGTGTTACCGAGACCTTCTCACGAATGTATTGAATAGTGGTGTCTTTTCCCACCATCCTCTTTTAATTATGGGTTCACCACACCACGAAGTGGTGGTGAACCCATATTGCTTTTTCTGATGTTTCTTCTTCTCCTTCTCCTTCTCCTGCCATTTTTTAAATGGATTCAGCTTCTTCATTTTAGGGCCTAAGGTCCTGAAATTTGGTATGGAGGTACAGTGGGCAAATACCCCTAGGCGTTTTTTAAATTTTTGTGATACAGGCTTTTAGAATGGTTTTATTTGAGTTTTTTGGCTGTGTTATAGCAAATGTATTACTGTGTTAGTGTGCCACGTCTGGGCATGAGTCATCACAATGGAATGCAGGGCATCAACCAATAGGCATGCAGCTTTCCTCTATACTTCTTGCTGATTGGCTGTTGGGATTGAACTTGATTAACACCTGCACAGAGCATTTCCACCTGCACAGAGCATTTCTTGCTGATTGGCTGTTGGGATTTAACTTGATTAACACCTGCACAGAGCATTTCCATACTGACAGTATGTCTTTATTCAAGTGTTTTGGTAGGTATTTCAAGCTTTTCTGCTCCAGCATTGGAATGCGGGGCATGAACGTTTCTTTTTATTTTGAAAATCAACAGTTTGCATTATGCAATTAAAAATCCTAACCAATAAAGTAGGGAATAGCTATCCAACTGTTGTTTTAGTTGTATGTTACTTCATATTATAGTTATATCAATGTAAATCATTGTTTTCCCTTGTGTTTCTCATTCTTTCCCTGCCATGTCGTAAAATGTGGTGAACCCATCGCTGTATTTGCTGCAAAGCAAATATTGGCCTTTCTAGTTGTTAATTGATTTTAAAAAAGTCCCTTGTGGTGGTCACAAAGTCTTTTGTACAATTGTGAAAGCTTTGGCCCTGGGGGCAACATCAGTGAACACTAAACAAATCAACATAACATATTAGACTAAAAACCATCTGACTGTACCTACAAGATCTGAAGGTACCCTACGTCGAAACAGCCAAAATATGATATTCTACATACAGGTAACTTACCTAAACGCAATATTTAACATTAAGTGTAACTTACTCAGACGCTATATCCTACATGCGGGTAAGTTACTTAAGAAACCGTGTAAGTTACACCCACCTGTTTCGTAACGATAAACTCCAAGCAGGTATTGGGAGGCTAAATCGTTTCGTTTTTCTATCTGTCCCTTCTTGTTTTTTCATCAAACGTTAGGAGGTCGTTTAACACCGAAAAGTTTTGCTATGAAAAAAACACTTTTGACCGTTTTAGCCTCCCCTAACATCTGCTTGGAAATGAGCGCACCTAAGCGTGACAGAGGTGATAATACCTGTACACCACGTGACCTAGCAGCAGTGTTGTGGCTTATCTTCAGTGAAGCGTGTCATGAAAAATATCAGGTAAGCAAGACTTAACTCACCTTTCACTGTAGCTTTGCAGCCAAGGCAATACATATCTGTAAATGAATACAATAAAAGAACACGTTTAAAATAATCTTAAACAGGAAAGAGCCTGTTGTTACAGCGTTGCCAATGGTAACAGAGAAGTGGGTAGGGCCCGATTGACTGTAATAATAGCGATGAGACCGCAAACAATAGGGGTGAGCGATCCTCTGTCCCCAGCGCCGAAAACCTATGTAAACTTTAGGCTACTGTACTACGTAAACATACCCAGATTGTCGAGAAATGTTTCGCAAAGAAGATGCCATAGAACCAAACGAATATTTGTGATAATTTGCCAGAAGTATCGTAACTATGATAGCCTGACACTGACAACCCTTACTGATAAATTTAAACATGGCGTAGCCGCTTCAGCTAACCAAGACGCTACAAAAAAGAGAGAGAAAACAGACAATGCCTCACCTGCCGACATTTCAGGTGGAACACACCCGACCATGTCAACGCTGAGCACCAACAACAGTGCAGCGGCCGCCGTAAGAACTGGCAAAGTCCACATTGTAATGGTTCTGTCTTCCAGTGGATTTAGGAGAATTTTTTCAAGCCTTGTACTTCGGAGCTCCCCGTCTTGTGAAGTACACGTCAGCCGAGGGAAGGTGAGAGGAGCCGGCTTTGTCGGGAGGTAATCCTAGCATGTACCTGCCCAGGGGTCACGTGTCTTTCCCGACCGTACCATTGTAACGGGAAGGGAGATTTCGATGAAACGCGGTCCTCCCATTCTCTTAACTAAGACTTTAGGTTCTTGTTACATTAGAAGCGGAATTCCGTAGGAATAGGTTATTCATATATTATGGAGAGTCTGCTACAAAATTCTGACTGTATTCTGAGGCTGTTCTTAATTTTTTGGACCCATTCTAATGGCTGGGTCGAATGCTTTGCGTATAGTGACACAATAGGGGTTTGCGTGCGTGTATATGTGTATGGTTGTGTATGTGCCAATGCGTCTTTGTTTGTATGTGGGTGTGTGTGGGTGTGTTTTGTGTATTTGTGTATATTAATTAGATAATGGAACTCTGAGAGAAAATCAAACCTTCTGCTTCCTACTTATATGAATTTCATAATCTAACAAGCTCTACTAGTGGTATGGTTAAGACAAAGATACAGTTTTGTATATTATAAAGCAACACACTGAAACAGCAGGATATTTACAAAACATTTCCTGTTGGCATTTCTGAGCATCATACACTGCAGGACTGCCTTCATAGCTTACCAATAAGCACAAAATACTGTAACTACATTTACTTTCACAGCGGGTTTATTTTCAGGGTACCCCCTTAACACGAAATTGCTTCACCATATTCATGAATAAGTATTGTATAACTTATTATGTAATTATAATATATATAACTTTTGTATTTGTATTGACTACAGAATTGCTTCAATCTTTTAAAAAACTACTTCAAGCAATGTGAAAACCTCATTTCCCTTCATACTGCGAAATAAAACCACTGTGAAAGTAAACACATTTACAGTACAAACAAGTTACAAAACTTCTGAACTCTTGCACATGACTGAACTTCTTACTTTCTTTTCTGATAACTCTTTTAACCAATTAGTTCTTTCCACTGACAGCATTTTTGAACATGAATAGATGAGAAGCACATCTAAATGGTACGAAAAAGTAAATTATTATAATATAAAACATTTAATGCCTGAAATACTATTGTTTTGAATTATCTCTTGTTGTTTTTTTTAGTTACAAATATGTACTGTATCTCTTTGTAACATTTTTATTCTTCTTATTATGTCTCTATTATGATAATCAACACTCCAATGACTTTTGGAATACATATATATGCATCTAAGGCCACACCAATATAATTCCTTGGTTCTATGGGTTCACAGATATTTTCTATGTTAAATCTTTGGAGGAGGATATATGAAAACAGCAGGTTTCGATGAGAACTGGCCTGTCACTCTGTTCACTCCCTGAAATGAACCATTAAGAGTGATATCTCAATTTTCTAGCATTCGTTTTCAAAAGTTAGGAGCCCATAAAATCAAATTTGCGTGGCCTAGTGATGTACATCTGTATTCAAACAGTCAAGTTCATGCTTCTGTGTGGATACATCGCTAACGTGTTGTACACTGGCTCCCTTTTCTAAGCAGCTCATGTCTGAGTTTATCTGTTGCTGGCGTTTGTCCCAGGTGCAATGGACGCCTCTCCTCCAGAGGAACTGTCGTGGGGGGGACTCTGATGGGAAAAGAAGAGAACATTTCAAATTTCAAACTGATCTCGAACCAGTTTGTCTCACAGAAAAAAAGGTGCTATGTACAGCATTTACAGGTTCATTGTTTTTGTATTGTAATTTGGTGAAATTGCCAATACAATCTTTTAGTACAATACAACAAACAGTGGACCACAGCTTAGCGTCCAATCCTAACGACTGCGACCCTTTACAGTAGCGTGCATGTGGGCTGAGCGACAACAGCTGGGATTCAAACTTCCAATCTCTTGGTCCAGACGCAGGACTCTTAACCTGAATGTTGATAACCAACTGAGAAGGCTCGAACATTAAATGTGCAACAATATCAAAAGATTCCCTAAGGGGGGATGACATATTGTTAAACAAGAACCTCCAAGAAGAGGGGAGGATTTGGTTACCAAAGATTAACCTTGAAGTCAAGTTGGAAGTGATAAGGCCTAATTGAATCCCTGCATGACTGAGTATAAACTAAATAGGCAGATGTAGCCTTACCTTAACATGGATCTGGTTCTTCAACATCGCAGAACGAAGAATAAGAGCCTGCAACGAACAGAAGAGAGATATATTAAAAACTGTCATCTCAGAAATATTCATCTGTACTCTATTGAAGATGGGGATTGAGAAGCTTACAAACATATGAAGGCAAAAGGTTTACTAGTAGACTACACTAAGCACAGGTGCAGTCCCTTTGTGCCTTGCTAGGTGGCACTCATGTACTGTACCTTTGTTCTCCTCTGATAGGCCTTCCCCATGCCCAGGGCCTTCTCAAAGGTGGTGCTTCTCTGGTCCACATCACGGGCATACAGGATCTGTGTGGAACAACAAGAGGCTTGTATCATTACAAAACAGGTTACCACATGGTGCAGTCTCTTTGTGACTTGTGGTGGCACCCATGTACAGTAAAAAGCAATTTTTTTCAATGTACATAACATACTGACATAGCCATTCTTTATTAGTATCTTAACCCTTGTCCTGCTGGTATTTTTACACAATATTTTTCAATAATTTCATGTCTAAATCAGGTCATAGACCCCTGACTTTTTTTGCAGGACAAGTGCTAGTTGAAGATTACAAATCAATCTGAAAAACAATTTTTTTGTACACGTATTATACAAGCCCCCTGACACCCCTCCTCGGTACTGCAGCTGCATGTTTGTGTGGTACATGTACCTTGTTGTGTGAGTCGATACTGACATAGCAATTCTTCAACCTAGTTGAAGACTACAAATCTGAGAAGCAAACAAATACATTATTTGTACATGCAAGCCCCCTGGCACCCCTCTTCGGTACTGTAGCTGCATGTTTGTGTGTTACATGTACCTTATTCGTTATTGTGTGAGTCAATACTGACATGGCCATTCTTTATCTAGTTGAAGACTACAAATCCGAAAAACAAACTAATACATTTTTGTACACATGTTATGCAAGCCCCCTGGCACCCCTCCTTGGTACTGCAGCTGCATGTTTGTGTGGTACATGTACCTTGTTGTGTGAGTCAATACTGACATATATATATATATATATATATATACCCATTCTTGATACTAGTAATGTTGAAGACCACAAATCTGAAAAAACAAACAAATACATTATTTGTACATGCAAACCCCCTGGCACCCCTCTATGGTACTGCAGCTGCATGTTTGTGTGGTACATGTACCTTGTTGTGTGAGTCGATGCGTGCCTGTATCTGTCCGTCCAGGATGAGCTGCATGAGTTCATCCTCCAGGGCTGCCAGTGTGGTGTTGAAGGCTGCCGCCATCTTACGCATGTCTGCCGACATGTAAGGGCTGAAGTACTGCAGGGAAATACAACATCATGAGGCCTCTGTTGGTGTTAAGTTGGTTTGTTTAAAAAAACACACATTGTATGATGGCACTGGCATGCCTCACCAGTGGGTTCATCAGTTGAACTCCACCCGTCATTGGAAAGTTTGGTTCAATATTCCCTCGGGGTGGGGGGCCAGCAACGTAAAAAGCACCACCACCCACTGGTGAGCTGTCTCCATTAGTCCGGGCGGTTGACTTTTTCAAAACAACATTCGATTCCTGGTGCAGCGTTCGAAGTTTGAAGCAGGCAACATACTGTCTCACAAATTTGTGGAATAAGAAGGTACCTGATATTTCCAAATTGTCAATGAATTGAGCGAAATTATCACTACTTTTTTTTTACTTGAAAAATTGTGAACTAGTAACTGTTTTAGTATCCTTACCTGAGTGAGGGCACGGTTACGGATCATGGTGTACAGACTGTTGATATGTGGAGACAGGTACATGTCCAGTAAAAGGTGGTCCTGAAAAAAAGAAATCAAAATTAATTTGATCATATCTCACTCCATATCACAGGTACATGTATAGGAGGGAAATATATTCAAATTTCTTTCTCTGCCATTTGGTAAAATTATATCATTACGGTTTCAACTGTCACTTTTCAAGTTTCTATACTTCACTCCATTACCACTGGTATATGAGGGGAATGCATTGTTTTTCCTGATGTTTCTTTCTCTCCTCCTTTCATTATGGGTTCACCACACCACGAAGTGGTGTGGTGAAACCATATTGCTTTTTCTGATGTTTCTTCTTCTTCTCCTCCTGCCATATCTTTAAATGGATTCAGCTTCTTCATTTTAGGGCCTAAGGTCCTGAAATTTGGTATGGAGGTACAGTGGGCAAATACCCCTAGGCGTTTTTTAAATTATTGTGATACAGGCTTTTAGAATGGTTTTATTTGAGTTTTTTGGCTGTGTAATAGCTAATGTATTACTGTGTAAGTGTGCAGTGTTTACCACATTTGGACATGAGTCATCACAATGGCATGCAAGGCATCAACCAATAGGCATGCAGCTTTCCTCTATTCTCCTTGCTGATTGGCTGTTGGGATTTAACTGGCTTAACTTCATTTACACCTGCACAGAGCCATGCCATACTGACAGTATGTCTGTATTCAAGTGTTTTGGTAGGTATTTTAAGCTTTCCTGCTCCAGCATTGGAATGCGGGCTATGAACGCTTCTTTTTATCTTGAAAATCAACAGTTTGCATTATGCAATCCTAACCAATAATGTAGGGAATAGCTATCCAACTGTTGTAGTCTTAGTTGTATGTTACTTCATACTATAGTTATATCAATGTAAAGCATTGTTTTCCCTTGTGTTTCTCATTCTTTCCCTGCCATGTGGTAAAACGTGGTGAACCCATCGCTATATTTGCTCCAAAGCAAATATTGGCCTTTCTAGTTTGGTTAAAAATTATTATAATAATAATGGATTCAACACTTTTCATCCAAAATGACCTGAAAGTAACCAAATGACATGGGGATCGAGTGGGTAAATTTATAAAAATTAATGTAAAATATGCACAAATTTATATTTTCCCACCATGAAATATGACTTGAAACAAACCAAGATGGCAAAAACCCTCACCTTGATCTCCTCCAGCTGCTTGAGACAGGAGGCATACTTAGACTCACTGAACTTCAGGATGATGTCTCTTAGCTGTGGCTCCAACTCTAGGAACTGCTTAAAGGAACTGTAGAAGATGGGGGGTAATTAAGTAATTAATATTTCTACTTCTACACGATACTAAGCAACACCCCTCGCGGGGCCTAGTGCTTAGGGGAGTGGTCCTTCCCCAGTGTGACCAGTGGTGGTGGTTAAAACAAACAAGAACAAAAACAAGTGCAGTGATTATATACAGAAGTCATAGCTAGGGGTTGACCACATTCCTACAGCTGGGTACAGCTAGGGAAGCAATATTGTTTATTATAAACTTTTGCCTGAGGACTAGTAGTAAGAATAAGCACAAAAAGAACAATCATGTATTAAAGAAATACAAACCGTAGTAATTAGCAGGGCCCTCTTTTTTTTTCATACCTGACAGGTAACATTGAAACTTACCTGCACCATACAATCTTTTCCTGCACCACTCAGACTTTGAGTGTTATTTGTGTATACATGTAATTACAAACCTTCAGTCCATTGAAATGATTATTTTGACAGGTTATAATAAATGCTACATGACCTTTGTGTCCTACACTGTACATTAGTATTACTTTAATAAAACCTTGTCACTAAGAATTACAATTCACTGGATGACTACTATACTCGTGGGTATCTCTGTTGCAATAACATGTCATACACATGTACATATGTCACATTCGATTACAGAACACACACATTAAATAAATGACTGTGACACCTTGAGGCCCTGTGCACCAGACATTTCAGACCCTCACCTGCTAGAAATGACATTTTTCTGCAGTTCCTGTCGATCAAACGTAGCCAGCGCACACAGGCCACCGTAGATGGCTACATTACTTGGTGACAGCATCTGTGGACAGGGAATACAACAAGTTTCAACATTTCCAATTCTGTAGAACACACAATACAATAGGATCCATGCAATAATACATCACGATACTGGGTTTGAAATCCTTTCTTAGGATACCTACACTGGCGCAGGTAACATTGAAAATTATCTGCACAAGACTAATTTTACCTGCACCACTCAGAATATAGGAAGTATGGATCATACTAAAAACTGTACAGAAACTATTTGCAATTTATTTCTACACTTCATACGTGGTCCAGGCATGACCTATATACAAATTTTCATGTGCATGTTTGGTTTTAAGATGAGTCCAGTGCAGGAACAGGCTACATTATTGTACAGGTTACTTTAACCAACATATTAGAGAAAGCAAAAACATTCAACATTACAGAACTACCAGAATTTAGTATTAGCATGCATATGCTGTTAAAACATAAGTCAAAGGTTAGTAGTCTTTTAAATAACAATAATAATGATCTATGCTTGACCAATTCACAATAGCTGCTTACACATAATACAATCAGTCATGTACTTACATCTGGGAAGTCACAATGGTCGAAGGAAGCCTGCAGAAAGTACTTAGCTGAGGCCTTGTATTTCTTGGTGGCCAGCTCTGCCAAACCTGGAATTGTCACAATTCAACAATGTTGTCATTGAAATTACAAAGGAAATTAAACTTTAAAGCCAGAATTGTGACCAATAGTTCTATTTACAGTTACTGATTTTAAAACAATAATACAAACCTGCAGCACACTTCAGTTTGGTGACTACTGACTGACTCTGGCTGTCTCGCTCTCCTTTCTGTAACAAACACAGATAATAATCAACCTTCAGAAAAGCCATGTGACAAGTCCCACTGGGTCAGCCTACTGAGGAAGACCAGTGAGAGTGACTGGTCGAAAACTCTAGGGGAGAACATTTATCTTTTTGTGTTGGAACAAAATAACTTTCAACATGTAACTACAGACACAGATGAACTTTCATAATAGATTATAATCAATTCAGTCTGTCATTGTCTCTTTTCAAAAACACTTATGAAGACATAATCAGGCAAGTTAAGAAATCACTGACAGCAACCAAATTTCTAGTCATACAGTATATGCTAGTAGTGGCCATTTCACCAAGTTACTTAGTAGCAGAATTTCGACAAACGAATTTTGAAAGGACTTACCTCTGCAATTTCCGGCGTAGCTTCAGCCTTGTTGACATAACTCAGCACATGTGGCCAGTTCTGCAGTAGTATGCTCACCTGTAAAAAAACAGTACATGTTTTCCCATGTTGACTGCAAAAGGGTTGCTGATTGCAGTTGGTAGCTTTACAGAGGGCCTTAACAATAGTACGTAAAACTGGAGGAGTTGGCTAGGTTTCACTGTATATGATATAGCTTGATGAAACTACTATGTTTGTATATTATTAGTAGATGTAGGAACACAGGTGCATGTAGGTGTAACCAATAGGACATTCACCTAAATTTCTCATTGCAATATTCTGGCATGTTTACAAAACACATTACAAAAGAATTCAAAGTCATTATCAACAGTGTATAAGCACAGGCGCTAGGCCACCGAGTTTTTGTTGAGATCTAACAATACATGTAACGTTACATTGTTTTGTAAACCATTAAATAAAATCCTTATTATTGTTTCGCGCATGTTAGAACATACACTGTGTCTACTCATTCAGCCCGTTGCCATCACAATACAGTGGTCCTTTGAAATATTCCCAAAAATCATACAGTCACATAACACATAACACCGTGAACACGGCCCGTTGAAAGGTTCCCTAGAATCATACGTACACTGAACACGGTCACAAACTGATGAGGATTCCAAAGAACCATACGAACAGATACCGAAGTCTCCCGAAGATTGCCGAGAGCCGAACAGCGACTTCCGAACGCTTCATCTTGGTTAGGTACTTAGTACTAGTATACACTAGGTGCGAAATGCCATTTCAAAAGACCCTATTTTCTGCGAAATGCCATAAGGACAATAAAAGTCTTGATACTATCTATAATCAAGGGGTAACTAAGTAGCCATGTAAACTTTTTGGGGGTATGATACCATATTTTAAAGAAGATATGAAGCATTTTGTAAAGTCCAATTTCCGGCGAACTGCGTTACCAGGTCGCTGCTGTACAGGTCAATGACATCATCGCTAGCCAATCAGACGCACGATAGGCCCACATTTCCCGCGCGGTTCTAAAATGTAAACGCACACAACTGGCTACATCACCCGACAAGAGTCTTGACATGCTATGTGTAAATGTACTCTAAACACGTCCACAAACCCCACCGACATGTTTTCAGTTCTACATATGTTTCCAGGCATGAGATTTGGAAAGTGTAGTTGTGCCCAATATCTCTAAAATGTACTATATCGTTGTTTTCTGAGTCTGGGGAGGCAGGGACTTCACACCGAACGTGATTCTAAGTCACATTTTTGCTGCCACCCCAGTTGGTAACGCAGTTCACGGGTAGGTGTTTCCTACCCTGTCATCTTTTTGAAGTTATCACCGCTAGCGCTAGCCCCGGCTTGGGGTTCTATCGAGTCGAGCAGCGGTTTTGCGAACGCATTCGAGTTTGCGAAACCTGTTCTATTCCCGTCGGCCTTTGCGCTACCCTGAACGCCAATGTAACAGCTGAGTAATGAGTGTGCTTTTTATTGTATGATTCAGCGGACCAAGTACCCAGCAGTATGTATTATATATGTATGGTTCATTGTACAGAGAATTCTAGGGAAATTTTTCAACGGACCGTGTTCACGGTGTTATGTGATGAGTGTATGATTCTCGGGACGGGAATCTTTCGACGGACAGTGTTCACGGTGTTATGTGTTGAGTTCATGACTCTTCGGATCCTTTCAACGGACCGTGTTCATAGTGTTTGTGTTCAGTGTATGATTATCGGGAATCTTAAGCTTGTACGGAGTGCACAGTATACGAGTGTTCATAAAACAAAGCAACAGCGATCTCAACAAAAACTCGGTGGCCTATCGCCCATGGTATAAGCTGTTCCTACACATTATACACATGTACATGTAATCCTACATGGGTATTCCATGCCATACCTTTATGACATTGAGACACATGTTGACGACATGTTTGGCGCTGGTGCAGTAGTCTCGTGCTCGTGAGTAACACTTCAGCGCGTTACTCAGGTCTCCACAGTCCAGGTAGTGGTCACCTAGGTCATCATGTCCACGGCTGGAAGGGAAAAATGTGAAACTGATCTCAAAACAATTCAGCTCAGGGTGTGTGGACTGACCAACACTGACCCTCTGGACACGGAGATGTGGTGTCCAGGCTAGCCGACTGCTGCCCACCCCTGAGACAGGGAAGCCAGCAGCAGTATAATCAAAGCCAGGATATGTATGTATGTATGTATGTATTTATGAAGAGCTAATCTTCCACTGGTCGTGACAGAGAAGACAGGCACTTACTTAGTAATGTACATGTATGCTGAGTATTCACAGGTTCATTGCACCAGGGAAATTCCTCTAGCTCTTTTTACCAAGTACAATGAACAGTGGGCGACGGCTTAACATCATAATACACCTATAAGGACTGTGACCCTTTCCATCAGCTGGGATTTGAACTCACAACCTCTTGGTCCAGAGGCAAGGTTTCTGACCACTGGGATGCATTCTACCTTTGGACTGTAACTAAATGAGGTAAAGAGCTTTGCATTTTTTCAAGATGTGCAATTCTTTTCCACTCACAACAGTACAGGTATCTCACCGAATGCTTTCCTTGATGGAGTTTCCCTTGTAGTTTTTTAAGTCAGTGTCCAGCTTCTCTAACTTCAGAGCTGCCTTCTTGGCGGTTGTCTCCACCCAGTCTGTGTCGTATGGTGGAACTCCTAATGTCAAACCTGCCACTGCGTCAGGCATGTTAGCCACTACACCAGAACTGTGGAACATGCACACACAACAGATAGGAGTTTTACAAATTACATGTATCAGAAAATAGTTTCATCAGGTTGGTAAAGTATAGGATACAGGAGTTTTCTTTTACACAACCAAGCTTGTTTCTTGGTTGTGTAAAAGAAAACTCCTGTAATAGCTGTATCAAATTACATGCATGTTATATCTCTCTAACCAATCGTTGGTAATCTCTCTAAACTAGTCGACCATCTAACCAATGAATGATGGCCATGATGACGCAACGCATAAAAAAAATCATACAAAATGTGGTTAGTGCACTAGTCCAACATTTTTTAAGGAACTTCTACATAATTTCACAACACCTTACATGGGGTGAAGTTATACTGCCTGTATTACACTAAAATTCATTTTTAAAAAAAGCTTAAAAAGATTTTTTCCCACCTGGCAGCTTCCTGTAACTTCCTGTGGACTTGCTGGTACAGGTGGACGTTGTAGGTTCTCTGGACATAGTGGAGAGCCATCCTATACAGTCAGGGGTACAAACAATCAACATCTTACAGTAACAAGGGAAAGCAATAAACCAATCCCCTCTCTCTTCCAATCAAAATGTAGAAATACAAACTGGCAACTGTCATGCATAATTCTCATTGGTTGAACCAAGTGCCTACTCTCCAAGCAGAAGTTTGGGTTTTGGGGGTATTTTGAGCGTGTTTTTAGGCTTTTTTATCGGGGTTTCTCTTTTGCACTGGATTTAAAAATCCAGTGCAAAAGAGTGCAATGCTATCATTGGATGAACTGCTAATTTATATAGTGATGGACAGACAGGATTGGTCCATTATCGTGATGATAGTCATAACATGTGACATGTAACATCAACCCCAATAATTCTACCAGGTACCCGTTAAGACAGCCACAACAAAAATATGGTGTTATCGTGTCAGGGCTTCTCATTAAGTACTGCATACCTGAGAGCCTCTACTTTGAGTGGAGGACAGTGGTCAGCGATGAACACCAGCCGCTCCAGCCGGGCCAGACCAGTGTACTGGGCAGCATACGACTCCAGGTCCTGTAGGAAAGGCATCAAGTTCAAGTCTTAAATTTTGTGTCTGATTCAAAGGGTTTCTTCTGATTTTAGGGCATGAAGTTCATCATTGGGAAATTTACACGTACACAAAACATTTGTTGTGCACATAAACATAAGTTGAAGATACATGTAACTGTCAACAAAAACGTACTGCAAACCTTACTCTCTTCAGAGCTTAAATCTATTTAAATGCAATTTCTATTTACATGTTAAGTATTTCCAGCCTGGACATTAAATTAATTAAAATGGTTGATTATGCCATGGCTGGCAGATGATATGCTGCCTTGCACCCTATCCACATCAGTCTAAGGATCCAAAATAATGTGTAGAAGGTACCAGTGAGCATGACTCCACAGTGAAGGTGTGTTCTGGTTGGTTCTCGTTCTCCTCAGGCGGGGCGTCAATCTGCATGGGCTCCACTGGAGGCTGGAGAAACAAGACTTGCACTTTTACTCAAATCTGCCAGGTGGTGCTGCTCATGCCAAAATTTAGACTGGTCATTTACTAGTACTGACCGATTGGTGGGTAACATTGGTTCTCTGGTTTTAAAAAAAGTACAGTGTTGAATTTGAATCAACATGAAAACGTCTGACTATGAGGGGAAAGTCTGTAACTTGGTACACACAGTTACAGTGAGTGACTACAAATGTATACTGTTAGTGTAGACCTTCAAATACTCGAAGTACTTTTATTTTTGCCGTCTTTGCTGCCATTGCAAAATTATGGCACCACAAATATGAGCTTCCATTGTACTGTATTACATGTACAATGTATACTGTATTGCAGAGTTCTTCATACATGTACTAGTACTTAATTGTACTACAAAATTAAGTCCATGCCAAAATATATAAATTTACAGAAGCTCTGAGGAAGGTGTCTGATAGACATCGAAACGTAAGCAGGTGAGAACCTTACTGGTTGTGTTAGAAGAAAATCCTATACCCTATAAATTTACAGTATCAACTGTAGTCAGACTTAATTAAGTCTCGCTACTCCCAGCTTTCTATCTTAATCTTCAAAATGTCCATGAACCCAGAAAATAAGGGCTGGAAGGTCCATTTGATTTACATTTAATTTCTTTGCATGGCATGTAATTATTCCGATATCATGATATACAAGAAAGTACTGCGAATGAAAAAGAATTATGTTCACAATCTTACCATTACGACGTGACCTTCGAAAAGGTGAGATTATTAAGTCCAAACAAATTCACTACCGGCGTCTGGATGCATATATCTTTATCCCCATTCTGTATACAGTTACGGGACAGAGAGACTACGTCTGACTGAAGTTTAATTTTGTTACTTAGATGTTTATGGCGCACCTTACAATAAACCTGCCAGTTTCCCAATGTTATTACAACGTGCAATGTATATAAATGTACCTGCTATATAAGAAATGGCTACCATGTAATTCAGAGGTTTAGGCTAGTTTATTGGTAGTAGAATTTTTACAACCAACTCTTGCAATTGGCATCAGTCCAACAGTTAGTTACTGCAGAAGCTTTGGGTTTAGCATTTACTTCTGGGTATTTTGGGTGGCACAGGTGTCGTCTTTTTTGTCTTGAGTTTGGGAGTTAAGGTAGCCAACTTTCTGATGATTCTGCTACACTTGTAATTTGAAGTGAATCACCAAGGCTGGACTGTGTAATTTGGACCATCACACACCGGGGCATGCCCCTATTCTCTTTTGAATGGTGTGGTAGGTTCTTGAACGTGCGTGGGGTGTGGCTCTACAAAACACAGGACTTTTATTTACTACTGTAGTATCGTCTTATCCAAGGGACCTCCCTTAACCAAAGCAAGGTATTCAATAATTTTTCAACAGTTATGGATTTTTTGCCTGTCGGTGCACATTGCTTCAGTTGCACAGTGGGTGGGTGGTGATTTTGAGAGTTGATTGACAGCAAAGAATTCTGTTGTACAGTAACTATGTGACAGCAGGCTTTTAGCTAGGGGGTGTCCAGGGTGTCTTTTGGACGCCCTGTACTGAAAATAATAAGAAATTGGACGCCCTACTTTTTTTGTAGGACACCCTAAAGACGCCCTATTTTTTCCACTCCCAACCCTTGCCATGCACATATACCTCCCTTCAGCCTTACTATAAATACAAAAGTGCTGGTTTACTGAAGGAAAAAACTCAAATTTACACCTGAAAATGCAGTAAGTAGTGTTTGAGAGCATTATGAATTTCAAAAAAGCCCCCCTAAAATCTTGCACTCAGCACGTCTTCACTGTGCATAGCATACAATAAAAAAAATGGACACCCACCAAAAAAATCCTAGCTAAAAGCCTGTGTGACAGTAATAAATAACATGCATATTCACAATGTAATGATAATCGTCATGTGCATAAAACCTTAGAAAACATTTCAAGTGTATAATTTACCTAAAATATCTATTTCATCTATTTCTATTTTATACAATTAAGATACATGTAAGTTACATGTAATTACATTACTGAAAATTTGAAATGAGCAAAATCATATGTTGGTATTGGAAATGCGCACTTTCAATTTTTTTAACTGACTTGACCTAAGATGTGACAGTTCTAACTGGTTAAGAAATAACTGCAGCAAAATATGAAATATCATAAAACGAAAATATGATCTTTACGAACAAGACGACTGAAATAAGTCTAAACTGAACATTACTGTTTACCCACTCTTACAAAGGAATACATACTAAATATACAGATAGACAATACATGTTGCAAAAAATCATATCATACGACACACAGTCTGAAAATATTCCATGACTGAGTAAAATAATTTTGGCCCCCCTCCCCACACCACCGCCACATTTACCGCATGCAAACACTAACATTACACCGACCTGGAACAGCATAGACTGTACGGGAAGGGGCATGGTCCTTCCTGTACCCCTTTAGTACTCGAAACGCTGAAGTAAAACAAAACAGAAAGTCGTGGACAGTCTGGTCACAAATATACCCGTTTGGTAAAATAGAATTCCTCCTACTTCGCCCGGCATTGGTGTGAAATAGAAGCTAGCCGCATATTTGCGCACACAATACGTTTTAACAAATAAATTGTTCAAAAACTGTTTTTCTATAACAAAAACAAACATTTTACACCAATAAACTCTCAAAATATAGATTCTTTGTTAATTAAAAATTTTAAAGGAGAATTTTTTACGTTTAGATATTTTAGAGGGTTAAATTTGTTATTGAATGGGAGGTTGCGCAATAAAGAGATGTTTATTTTTAGTGAAAGTTGCCGGGAGCATTTGATGTGGGAAGTCCAAATATCCAGGTTGAAAAGGTTTTTTACAGAAAGTTACTATCGAATTTTCAGAAATTTTTCGATGACACCGGCTGTAGAATTGATACAAGCTGCTGTTGTTATGTTATTAATCGTTAAACCCACAGAAAGACTGACTATGGCCGAGAAATTGGCTGACGTGCAGAATACTGTAAATTCATTTACTTTAATTTTTGGGGTGGTTTAATTTTGAAGTAGTAAGTAAAGGGAGGTTTTCGTGGTGTTTTTTTGGATTCAATAGTATGTAATATTTTGCAGTACAATAGTCATATCCATACTGTCATGATTTACCAGAGAAGAGATCACAAAAACTCATTTATTTAAACAAAACCACTATGAAAGTTTAAAGACCTACAGTATTCATGTGACTTTTTTAGTGAAGGTTTTGGGAATCCACTTTATCATCATTTTTAGAAAGGTGATATCAAGTTGAATAAAAGGTGAGAAGATGAGCATACCTGTCCCTTAAGGTTCTCACCCATTATATCTACCATCCACAGGTGAGAAGATGAGCATACCTGTCCACCTGTACCTTAAGGTTCTCAGCTATCTTTTATCTACCATCCACAGGTGAGAAGATGAGCATACCTGTCCCTTAAGGTTCTCACGTATCTTATTTATCTACCATCCACAGGTGAGAAGATGAGTAACCTGTCCACCTGTCCCTTAAAGTAAGGTTCTCACCTTACTAAACCTACCATCCACAGGTGAGATGATAAGCACACCTGTCCTTAAGGTTCTCACGTATCATATCTACCATCCACTGGTGAGAGGATGAGCATACCTGTCCACTTGTCCCTTAAGATTTTCACCGGTGAGAAGATAAGTTTACCTATGCACCTGTCCCTTAAGATTCTCACCTTACTTATCTACCATCCACAGGTGAAAAGATGAGCATACCTGTCCACCTGTCCCGTAAAGTTCTCACCTTGGTTCTGATAAGACATCAGCAGCAGGTGCTACTGGGAATGAAGAAGCGCGGGTTTGGAGCAGGTCGGTGGAACGGCTTCGGAGGGAAGGTGGAAGTCGGTGAGACTATCGAACAAGCTGCAAAGAGGTGACTTTATATAGTATTTTTGCTATACAGTACTATAAATGTTGAAGAGTAAAGAGACTCTTTTTACACAACCAAGTCTTTTATTCCGCTGACGTTTCAGTGACCATCTGTCACCTTCCTCAGGGCAATTCTGACTGGTTCACATTGCACTGCAGCACAGGTGTCGCTGCTATACATGTAGATGCATATGTTACATTTGGGAATGTATCTACAGCAGCAACACCTGTGCTGCAGTGCAATGTGAACCAGTTTTTGGTTGTGAAAGACGACAGATTAGGTGAATTTTTTGTCCGTCAAAGTTCTGTCAAATGACAGAAAGAGAGACACTGGCTAGAACACTGATCTATGTCTGACAGTGATTGGTCCCTGTACACCATCACTCATTGACTCACTGTCCATTGTAACGTCAGTTTTGCCCTGTTGTGTGAGGGTTGGACAGGCTAGCACTTAAGATGTCAGTGTTTGATGGTAGACTCTAGCTCCTTCTGTCCAGCTGGATTACATTATAAAAGGTTGAAATAGTGAATAGTGTAAAATGTATTCTCCAGGGTTCAAAAGTACTTTACTTCGTCAAGTTGACCACTTGGCATGGCAAGCTACATGTATGCCTCCCAAAAAATTGGCATCCCAAATGCGTATGCGTCCAAAAAAAATCATCAGCAACTGTATAATGAAGGAAAGAGGATGCGGATTATTCTGTAAATCATGATTATTTTGGGGTACTTTTATATTTCGCAGTTTTCACAGTCACTTCTGTACCGCGAATTTATCATTACCGTGAACAAATAATTCTCCAACTTTCTTTCTTCTGCACCTCCCGCCACCGCAAACATATGCAAACACCCGTCCATTTTTTCTCAGACTGCAAAATTTTGCTACCACGAATATAAAGTAAGTTATGAAGTTATACATGTACAACTACTTATTTTCCCCTTTCAGAGAGCTTGAGGAGGAAAGCTGCCTGAAGGTGGAGCGTCTACAGAAGGTTGGCCTGCTGCTTTTTGAGTTTGTAGGAGACCCCGTCATACTGGAGGTCCACGTCTTCTCATCAAGACAATTCACTGGAGAACCCAGGGAAACAGAAGGTGTGTTGGTAGACTTGGAGGCACAAAGTTCTTTCACTCCGCGGTGCGCGGGACACTATCTCACCTCACCTCACCGGTCCCATAGCAGTCTGTCCTGCCGTCGGGGCAACTAAACTATCCACAAGAGTTATCCACCCAGGGCGGTTCTCAGCCAGACTTGTCAGGTGACTCAGGGGATGTCCTCTCCATTCCTTCAGGTCACTAGTCCAGGTCCTTCGCGGACGCCCCCTCAGTCGTCCACCCTCCGCCTTCCCTTGCAGTGTTGTGTGAGCTAAGGTACCCTTCGCTCTGGTTACGTGTCCAAACCACTATAGGCATCCTAAAAAAAATCCCTCGGGATATCCCAATAAATCCTGCAGGATATCCCGCAAACTCCAGCGGAAAAGATATTATTTTTGCTCTGTTTGACTTGAAGGTAAATGTTAAGCGAATTTGCTTTGCAAATGTTACCTTTTAAGTCAACTAAGATCATATTGTGATTGAATGCCCAATGCACAGTAATGCTTTAAAACATCAGTGTTGAAGAATTAGGACTAAGTGAAATGAAGCCCAAATCATTCAAGCTACACTTTCAATCTACTGACGTATTGCCAAAAAAATATGAAGGCCATAATCAATATCATAACATAACAGCCTCTTGGTTTAAATTCTTTATCTTTTAGATCCCTATTATTGATTTCTTGAGACCTCCACACAGATTGTACGGGCCCTGATGGCTTGAAGATTGTATTTGTGGGAGTCTGGGAGAGGACCCATTGAAGAAGTGGGGTATTCTCACTTTGAAGAGAAAGAAATATTGCTAAAGCTTTATGACTGTACAGAAGTTTATTTTCAACTTGTGTTTGTTTGCAAAGAAAGAAACACAAGTACTCAAATTTTCAGTACAAAAGAGTCACAGAAGTGAGATTGAAAGTAGTGTAACTCTAACATGTGACAGGAAGGTCAAATTAAAGTGAAGGCGAAGGTTAGACATCCAGGTAATAAGATATGCCAAAACAGTTACTCAATCAACTGGATATGATTTTTGGGTCCTGTTCAGGTAGCATCCACTACCTTTCGTCAGTGGCACTGGAGAATTCTAAGAAAAGCAGGTTTATAAGTACAAAGTATTGATTGATATTGATATTGATAAAGGTCAAGGTGGTCTTCCTGAAGGTTGGGATCGGAGGAAGTGAGTTGAGTTGGAGGTCAAAATGGTCTCACCACAGGCTTGGAGGAAGTGGGGTTGAATTGCAGGTCAAGGCTGGGACAAAGTAACTGCATATATTAAGGGAACTCTGAGACTCAAGGATTATATGTGCGCAACAGTGGAATATGCACAGTATCAATAAGAAATTCACGATAATGAAACTAGAAATTCACAACAAGGCCTTAAAGAAAAAGTATTTTTCCTGTTTCCCGACTGACCCAAAAAAAAACTGCCAACCCTACCCTTTTTTTGGTGGACACAACTACATGTAAGAATGTAACATGTAACATTTGGTTTCAGTGCAAAAGTTGATTGCAAAATACAGTACAGTAAACTGTATTTGTATTTGTATAGCCAACATAACCGTCCTTAGGCATAACACACCAGCGTAAAACACTGGCGTAACACAAACTACTACTATGTTACTACTAGTATCACAATTATATTACATGTACAAGGGTTACCCAGAGTTCACTTTTTTCCCCAGCATACTACATGACTATAACTTAATGCACACGGACCATCAGACAAGGATGGATTGGCAGCCCCATTTTTCATGTGGGATTATAAATTAAACTTAGTCTGATGCATTTTGAAATCTTCATCTTTTTCCTGAACGTGGTTCATTTTCCACTTGCCCTCCAGGCCCAGCCACAATTTTAGTGAGTCATAAATTCTCCATATCTTTCAAGTTTTGGCATACCTAGGGCCAAAATAAATTTTTTACTTGGTCCTCAGACATTTTGAAGAGATTTTGAGGGCTGGGACTGGGAGTCATGAATTCTCCATATCTTTCAAGTTTTGGCATACTTCGGCCAGCACAAATTCCTTGGTCCTCAAAGTAGACAGAAAGTCTCGTCTAATGTAACATATTACATATAAATGTGTATTTAAGGATGACATCCCGTCAATAGTTTTCAAATGTTGTACAATGTATTTGAAAAAAGGTATTGTCTTCAACAGGCAAAATTTTGATGCAACACTGACCAAACATCCAACAAGCCCTTGAAAAACCCAGGTTCCATTTTAAGTCTTTAGACCTGTGTAAACTAAGATAAAGTCATGTACATTACCCCTTACACTGAACTATATGAATGAATGAGTGAATGAATGAAATTTCATTATCGACTTTTCTTTGTCGCCCAGCCCATATGAGCAATGTTTCTCTTTTGATACTCAAGTCCAGCAATATTTTTTAAAGCCAAGAACCAACCAATTAAATCAGTGTGGCCGCCTAATGCTCAGCAACAAAAGTCTGGAGAGCGGCCAGGTGACGTGTCTGTTCACGACGGCAGATCACGAGAGCCACGGGGAAATGAACCGAACCCTCCGCAGTCTCTCCTCAATTAGAGGCTGTTAGAGCTCTGCCTCTATCTCATCTGCACCACTGTTCACACACACGGTCTGCTGCACACACAACTAATGGGAGGTTAGAAAGACTTGCACTTGGCTTAGGCCCAGGAAACAAAAAGTTGTGTTAACTGTTTCCCGACCAACCCTAGCAAAAACGTGCTGATCCTTGACTTTTTTTGATTGACTGCTGGTAAGGCTACAAAATTTTCGATTCGCCATCTGAATTTGAAATGCTCTGAATAGTCTAAACACATCATTTAATCCATATTCAGAAGCAATGTTTTCTGCAGTTACTAGGATTAAATATTTGTCCACAAGCAAACAGGTGGACAGATCCTTGAGACAGACCCGATGCATTGCAAAACTTACTTGTTGGATCATTTAGCCCCCCCCCTACAAAAAATTTAGAAAGAAGAAAATTCCTACATGTATGTACCCTAATTTATTCACAACTGAAACTGGAAACATAACATTAATTTTTCTAGGCCAGGTACAACAAAGTTCCCAGGCTGGGAGTAGGTTGTAATTGTAGGATAACTGTAAGGGCAGTGGTCATTAACCTCACCAGGCTACTGTTGAAAGGAATGTTCGACCCTTTTGGCATCTTTTGGGAACTCCATACCTCAACAACTGGCATACACATGAAACGTCAGGGTTCTAGCTAGGATTTAATTTTAGCGTAGTGGTACTGGCTGCATGTCAAGGGAGCGAAGCGACCGAGAGGGGGGATGGGGCGGAGCTTTTAAAAAATTGAGCTAAAAAAAGGGGCCATTTAAGGGATACCCAAAGGGAAAAAATGTTATTCTTAAGGTATGTATGTATCCTTGATTGGTAATTTTTCACATTTGATCTGGCATTCTTGAACAGTCACAATGCCCCTATGCTGTATTGAAAATTTAGTGTAGGGGGTGAAAATTATAGCGTAGTGGGGGAAATTTAGCGTAGGGGGTGAAAATTATAGCGTAGGGGGCCCCTACGCTACTTTGCACTAGCTAGAACCCTGATTACGTCAACTCTCATATTTCCACTGGGTGAACCTAAGACTGCTACATTAGAATAACGGCGTTATCAAGGCCTTCTCAAGAATGTCTTGAAGTGCGTCAGCATACCTCAGGGATTTCTGATTCTGCATCTCTAATAAGTTACCTTCAGAATGCCAAGGTAGCCATTTGGCACCAAATTTGTAGTCTGTGGTTTTAGGTTAGGAAGCAAAAAGGTTAATGTTACACAGTAGCAGTCTTAGGGTATTGGGCAGAATTATTCTGTAAGAATATATTAACAATAACATTACAACAGTATATTACATATATTAAACTTCATTACATACAGCTTATGATGTAGTCCCATACCTTAACTGCTGGCATGCACATTTTGTCTCATAATTCTGTTAGGTAAACCTTAGACTGCCACATTCTATTGAGGCCTTCTCTCAAGAATGTTTATATTTGTATAAATTTGGTTCAGATAATTTTCAATGTTACCTGCAATTTGTATAAATTTGTCTGGTTCAGATAATTTTCAATGTTACCTGCACCAGTGCAGGTATGCAAGAAATTCTAACTCCATGGAGGTATGAGATCTTTGGACTCTTGTTGTTTGATTTACATTTTGTTTGTTATTTCCTTCCAGAGATGCGCCCAAAATGGTTCCCTGTGGAACACATCCCGTATGACTCCATGTGGCCAGACGATGTGCACTGGTTCCCTCTCTTCCTCAAGGGGACCAAATTTTCAGGATTTTTCAAGTTCAAGGGCCATGACACCATACTGGAGCACACCCTACAGGAACTGGACACACTACCACAGTGATGGTTTTTGAGGTTTTTTATAGATTCTTAACATAGGAGATTTTTACCTTTTGTATTTCAAGGTATATATGCAATCACCTGATAGTGTCACGGACGGCAGAAACCAGGTGGCAGTTGGATGATTTGCCCACCGATAATTTGCATATGTCTTATAATAAACAATGATCGCCCGTATGTATTTCCCTTTTTGAGCCCCTCTTTTTAATAATTTTTTACATATTTGCAGGAAACAGTGACATTTACTAGCTCTTTAAATATTGCTCTGCAATGTGGTTCATTACTAGATTTAACTTACTATGTAAGAGAATGACTAAATATTAATCTTACAAAAAAGGCCTTCAAGAAGATGTAAGAATTCGTCTAACATGTATACCTAAACCAGGACTAATATACATGTATGTTACTAACCGTCAAGCATACGGCTACAAAATTTATTTCATGTTTCAAATTGTTTCATATTTCAAAATTTATATCATCTGGAGCAACATAAGTACACCCATATTTCCTTGTACATGTATCACCTATGTTGCCTGGTGGTACACTACTGTATTTTTACATGTATGAGAGATGGTATTATACTAATGTTGCTAATTTATGTCTGTTTGATATAACTTCTTTGTGTGACTTGATAAATCGTCAATGGTGGCCATTTGCCAGCAAATGCAGGATACAATGTATTTCCATCTACGTCTTTTTCTTCTAAGTATTTTGGCAGAAAAAGGACCCACAGAGCATGCAAAAGTAGAAAGGCTGGCATCAAGGATAAAATAGTTAAACATTCCTGCTCCAATATGAGAGTTCCGCTTCTAAAGTAGCTATCCACTTACATGTCCTCAGACTGATAATTTTGACTATAGGAATGGGAGGAAGACAGGAAATAGCAAAGAAAAACATTCATGCTTAGGCCACACCAATTTAATTTCTTGGTTAACGGATTTTTCTAGAAAAAAAATGGAGCGGGCGGGCGAAAAAAAAATAAAAATAAAAATTTGAGACTACCTGCCATACAGCCATGTAGTAAGCAATCCATTAAGTTAAGTTACAAAATGATATAAGACATTATATTGGACACTTATTGAACTGAAGGGACCATTACTACATGAGCAACTTCTCTTACATCCCTTTACAATTATTCGTATTATTTTGGAAGATACACATCTTTACTGTGTGAACAACAAACTGTCAGTTGACAAGACTCCGATCCAATTGGTTTCACTTTTCTTCATCTTTCAAAGTTCTAAAGAGTGCATGGTTTAAATCAGGGTGCTCTGTTCAGATCCCATTGTTTTCTTAGAGTTCAGGGCACACAGCTTACCACTGGGCTGGGCTGATATTGAAGCTATTTAGAGCTTGAAATTTACAATATCCTAAATATATGCTTTAGACAAATTTCCAGGAATGTGTAAAAGTTGTTGGCAAAAGAATTAACTACTTTAACAGATATTTTATTTCTTTTTTTATATTTCCCCAATTCCCAAATACTTAACCGGTAGTATCCATTTTATATGTCCCGTCATACACTTTAGGTATGCTACAGCTACATTATACATAGACATCATTCAAACAAATAGCCACATTGACACACTCTTCAAGTTGCCACAAATTCAATGGTCTAGGGTTTCACTATAAAGTGTTTGATGTATGGGGATTTCTTATTTGTAGGGGGAACCATTTTAATCAAAAATTTAGATGTAATAATTGATGCATTATTTGCAATTGTACTCCTGTTTATAGGTATTTAAATAAGATGTAACTTTGTTAGAATGCCACATGCACATGTAGTATTTTTCACAGAGTAATTTCTATAATTATAAGGACCTGTTTCCCCCTACTCAAAGTGGACTCTTCCGACCGTGAGAAAAAGTTGCTTTAGTGAATGGACTTACGTATACGTGCATGGAGGACTTTTTACTTTGCCAAATCCCTATGTTTGTGGTAGGATTTTGTACTTTTTGAGAGTAATACAGTTTGTGATGCCAGAATACATTGTTATGTCGTGTTATTTTTACATATTCCCTGGAAAAAAGATTGTTTTGAAGGTGTGTGTGCATGTGCCGCCCAGGCCGAGTTACGTTCGGCCGATAATTTCTAACGCCCGTTTCTAGCACATGTTTCCGACACAATACGTGTTCCTAAATATAATATATAATATTATCTAAAAGAGAGATGATATGTTGTTACAGGTACAATGACTTAGTAAATCTGCCGTACGTTTGTCGTCAGTGAAGTTTTGTCCCATGAATGGTGACATGTGCAAAGGGGGTGGGGGGCGAGTTCTATATCAAAAGAATTTGACGAACTTTTGAAGAGGCAACCTAGCTTTCCGAACAAATTGCAGTCAGAAAAATGTTTCTGCCTTGAAGCAATGTATTTTAAATGCTGTTAACTATGCACAAATTTTGAAAAATTACAACATACCGGGTGGATTTTGGGGCCCCAAAAAATAAACGTTCCGGTACGTTTATTGTTCCGGACCCGAGAGTATGGATTTTTGTTCTGTTTTTATTTTTATTTCATTTTGGCAAAAAAACGAAGCGGCGAATCCGTTAACCAAGGAAATAAATTGGTGTGGCCTTAAAGCAAAATATAAAAGTTTCAATTTTAATGTAAATAATGTGTTAATAGTGTTCAGCACCAAGGACAGGTATAACTAGAAATGTGTTTAAAATTTAGTACTTATAGGGGCTTCTGAACTAGGAATCAGCATGTTTCTTATGTGGATGGTGTTCAGCACCAAGGACAGGTATAGCAATGTCTTTTTTGTTTGAAGTGCAAATTATTGAATTTTTTCTCAATTTCATGGAAATTGGTCATATTTTGGGAATAACAGTTGAAGAAAGTGTTTGTATTCCTATAGCTATAATAGGTTACAGTATTATTCATTAATTCATGCATCAAAAGTTCAAAATTCTTTGTTTAAAATATTAACCAGCCTAGTATTGTTGACTTCTGTAGTTCCTGTATTTAGCATTTTGGTTCATTACAAGATTCCATTTTTTCCATGCCCACTCATTATTTTCTGCAAAAATCCAAGAAACAAGAAATTTAATTGGTGTGGCCTGAAATAAAATAAAAATTCAAGTATTCTGAAAAATTGCAGCATTTGAGGTCAATGAAATACACATGTGAGGCACTTGGCCAATTTATTGATCTCCATGTAAATGCAGGTGCTAGGTTCTGTACAGCACATAAATATATTTCCCATTCAGGCCTTCAATCAAAATATTTAGGTCACAAGTAAAATTTTGCAGCACAATTAAATGTAGCTTTGTCAGCCATCTAAAAGAAACAAGGACTTCTAAATGAAATACATTTTCAATAGTGCTTACAATAATAGACAAATATTGAATATTGTGATAGAACTTTATGCAAAGGCTAGATGGAAAATAATTCTTTGAAGGGTATGTTAGATACATTCAAGAAAAATTTTCAAATCAAAATCTTTTCAAGCTCTCAATACTGAGACGTTACCTTTGGTTGAACTGTGATATAATTTAAAACCTACATATCAAGCCTTTTCTATATAATCTTCGATATCCTGCATATGATTGTTTTGCAGTATAAAATGCTTATCTACTGATAACATTTATTCCTAAAAATCCTTCCATAAGCCGCAGAAACCCGGCCGTATTACGGAAACGTAGCTTGTTTATTTACGGAATTATTAGCTTTACTACATTAAGCCTCCATTCAGGTGTGCAGCGCGCTGATAATAGTATTGGGAAAATGAGATGCGGACATGTTGGGGTGTCCCGGCGGTGCTTTGCATACACGGCGGAGGTAGGGTGCATGCTGGTATAAACACCAGGATTTAGGGGTGTGTGCTCCACATATCAATAAGCAGATCTACAGCATCATGACCTCTCCATGCAGCTTTATTGCAGGTGGGTCCTCTCCTATCATTAAATTCTTTTTTCTTTTTTCATTCTGCTGTTACATTCATGATGTGTGTCACCGGCGATCGCAGGGTTGCCCGTGTTCATGAAAATTCTATTTGGTTGCCCTCAGGCCCCATTGGTGGAAATCACATGGCTGGTTCGGACCATGACCAGCTACCATCGTTTTGGAGATCAGATTGATATCGATGCCGACTATGCCGACAATTACTCCAAACGTGTCGTCGTTCTCCTTGATCGTGAAGCAGCAGCGTCCGGCGGCGGCGTTCGGCCCTCCGCGGGAAACAAGCCAGCGGTGAGTGACGTCTCACAAGAGGACGGCAGCGCAACATGTTTACAGCTGAAATCCGCCCTCGGAAGCTGGACTGAGAAGAGACGATTCAAATCACCCGATATTCTACCCAACACTCCCACAACCTCCCACCAGAAAAACAAGATGCCTCCTGAAGCACCCTCAAGGTAAGGAAAACAGAATTTCTCTGCCAAATCCCCTTGTTATGCTGACATGTTGATTATGTATGACAGCTTGGCATAATCCTGCAATTTAATCATCTACTCGGCGACCTAATTTTTTCCAGCCTCGCGGCAAAACAATGCTTTATTCCACCCGTGACAGGAATCCATTGTTGTTTTTATGCAACGACATTACTATCACTGTTTCTGTGTGCTTTGTGATTTGTAATTTGCTATTCATCAACCATGGACATTACCGAAATCAATTTTACTCCGTTATTCATTCGGCATAACGATACATTATGCAATTTCCCTGGTGCGCCGTCATTTAATTTCTGGTGTGTCCTCGCCGAGATACAAATGTTCAATTTTCCCTACAGGCATGATTTGTTCTATGTTTGGGGGAAATGGATTTGGGGGTGGGAGGGGGGGCAGGATACTAAATATTTGTGAAGGCTGAGGGAGTCTGTCAGTGATGGAGCGACCATGGATGGTTTTATAGCTTTATCAGCAATCCAACGGCCACAGTTAGAGCAGACATGCACACCTATTAAACCTTGCCTAATGGTGGGAGGTAAATCGTTAGCTGTGCTGCATCACAGAATCTAGATTTTTCACTAGAAGCACCATCTCCAGACCACTCCACTCAAATACAGCTTGAGTTATAGTGCACAGTAAAATTTGATGCATTTTGTATAATGCATAATAAACCCTCGGCTGTCATGACCTATATATGAATATCACTGGTTCATGACCGTTGCTAATATATTTATATATATTATATCACTCAGCTGGGATATTTGTTATGTACATGATAAGATATCAATATGATATAATACATATTTATCATAATATACGATATTCAGCTGTAAATGCGTACTGCATATCATCAAGATGACAGGTTTGTGGCCCTGGTCATATACTGATAACATATCAGATGATATTCAGTTGTGATATGATATTATAACCATATATTTTGCCCTAGCCACATGTATATACTGAATACAGAATAACATTTTATTTACTTGTATATGTACATGTACGTCACAGCATATTCAGCTTTGATAACATATCAGGTCAGGGATAAAAAATACTCTTTTCTGCATACCTGCACCATTCATTGCAGAATTTAGAAGTATGGATCATACTGAAAATGTTCAGAAACCATTGCTGTTATTCATAGGTGATAACAGTCAATGACGCAAGTAAAAATTCACAACCGTACATGACTGTACATTTTTAACAAAGTATAATGTATATCATAACCCATTACTGTACAGCTTACAAAAATGTATAGGTACATTTAGACATCAGAAATACCTGCACAGCTCCAACTTTATACCAGCACTAACCTACATATGTGGGTGCATTTCCAGCCAATTTTACCAGCAATAACCTACATATTATACATGTACATATGCAGGTGGCATATCGAGCCCTGTAGGAGTATAATGAACATACATACACATTTAGCAGCATTGGGGCTAGTGGCTTACCCTATCATAATATGTCAAGTTTTGATTGAGCAACATGTAATTCTCTTTGTGCATGTGTGTGTGTGTGTGATGACATCAGACATGCAAAACCTGATGTTACCGTAAATCTCTAAAAATATTTGCCTTTATTAGTTTATAGTTGTCTAACTATGAAATTCCATAATGATTGTACATTCTATACTGCAAATTGCGCAGTATTTCAGCCATGGGCATAAAACACAGTGAAAACATCCTTTTCCCTGAAAATATAAGTTCCTACAAAAATAAATAAATTTACAGTACCTACAATTGTAGACTAACCAGTGGCCAGTTTTGGATGTTAGTGCACTTAACCCATAGCCTGCTTACATGTAAATACGAGTTGATGGTGTTCAGCACCAAGGACAGGTATAGATGAAAATGTGTTTCTTTATGTGTATATATAATGAAACATAATGAAAAGGATAGAGGACAAAAATGTTTTCAAAAAATGCAATAACTATCAAATAGGAGGATACGAATTTAAAATCTGGTTAGACAATAGACTTGTTTATTTGATGAAACATTATGCCATGTTTGGCACCAAAGTCTATTGGTTCTGTGATTAGGCAGCAGGGTTGATTCAGTAGTCTCTTTGCTTCACCACTGATGAGTGTGTGAGTCTGCATTTCTGATGAATTTGTTGCAAGTGGTCCTTTGACTAATTGCAGTGCTTCTAATGCATCCTAATGTTTTATATTATGTTCTCATATTAAGCCCTATAAGCTTAAGGCCACACCAATTATTTCCTTGTTTTGGGGCCATTTTGATGTGAAAATTTAGTACAGAGGACACAATAAAAATATGAGAGGATTTAACTAAAATCTGAATATAATTCACTACCTGAAAATATACAAACTAGGGTCCACACTTTACTCTTGTGAACTAGATATTCAACTTATTGAATCTACATGGCATAATGCTACATCAAATACACAAGTCCATTGTCTAACCAGATTTGGAATTCAAATCTTCCTATTTGATAAAGTTATGGCATTTTTAAAACACTTTTTGTCCTCTACCTGTTCCATTTTTCACAAAAAATTTATTTGTATACCTGTCCTTGGTGCTGAACACCATGAACCTATATTTACATTGACATTTGGTGCTTTTATATTTTGCTTTTAAAAGAATGAATGATTTTCTTTGCTGTTTCGTATCCTACTTACATCCCTATAGTCCATTTTATCAGTCTGAGAACACTAAGCCATATTTTTAAAGCTTAACTCTCATATTGAGGCAGATGTGTTTAACCATTTAGCCTGGCTGCTAGCCAGTTCTTATGTTTCATACATGTATGTACCCAGCGACATAACACATGTATGTGCACAGTGAAATCCATACAGCACATTCGGAGTGACCAGCAAAGAACTTATATCCAGGATCCATCCCTTTGTTCACGCAGTGAAATATTTTCTTTTAACGTTTCAGAGAGTTTGAAATTTAGATTAAAATATTTTCTGGCCTGCACAGCAAAACAGCAAAAAAAGCTATGATCAGTTGAGAAACTGGAAACAAAATGTTTTTTCTTATGCCTTAGAAGTGTTGTATGGTCTCGATCAATGTCCAAAATCTTCAGAGTCACATGATATGTGCACGGTGAAATCTGTCGAGCACATTCAAAGTGACCAACAAAGAACTTATATCCAGGACCCATCCCATAATTGTTTGCTTTTTGAAAAAGGCTATGATCTTTGAAACTGGAAACAAAAGGTTTTTCCTAGGCCTTAGAATGTTGCTTAGCTGCGATCAATGTCCAAGATCTAGCAAGCTCATGATAGGTGCACAGTGAAATCCATGGAGCACATTTGTAGTGACCCACAAAGAACTTATATCCAGGATCCATCCCTTTGTTTGCTTTTTGAAAAGGGATCACTCCCGATTTACTCATTAAAAATTTTCTTTTAACATTTCAAAGAGTTTAATTCAGATTAAAATATTTTCTATCTGGCCTGCACAGCGAAAAAGGCTATGCTCAGTTGGGAAATTGGAAACAAAAGGTTTTCATCCTACACCTTAGAAATGTTACTCAGGTCTTCAAGTGACCAACAAAGAACTTATATCCAGGACCCATCTCCTTGTTTGCTTTTTGGAATGGGATCACTACATGTACATGTATATGTAAATTCTCCTGATTTATGCAGTAAAGATTTTCTTCAGAATCTGAAAATATGATGTTTCAGAGAACTTGAAAATTCAGATCAAAATATTTCCAGGCCTTCACAGTGAAAAAGGCTAATGTGATCTGTAGGGAAACTGGAAACAAAAGTGTAACGTTTTTCCTAGGCCTTGGAAATCAATGTCCGAGATCTAGCAAGCCACATGATATGTGCACAGTGAAATCCGTGGAGCACATTGGGAGTGACCGACAAAGAACTTATTTCCAGGACCCATCCTATTGTTTGCTTTTTGAAAAAGGCTATGATCATTGAAACTGGAAACAAAACGTTTTCATCCTACACCTTAGAAATGTTGCTCAGTCGCGATCAATGTCCGAGATCTTCAGAGCCACATGATATGTGCACGGTGAAATCTGTAGAGCACATTCAAAGTGACCAACAAAGAACTTATATCCAGGACTCATCCCATTGTTTGCTTTTTGAAAAGGGATCACTACATGTTTCTCCTGATTCACGCAGTAGAAATTTTCTTCTGAGAATATAAACAAAATAATGTTTCAGAGAGTTTGAAAATTAATTCAGATCAAAATATTTTCTGGCCTGCACAGCAAGAAAGGCTATGCTCAGTTGGGAAATTGGAAACAAAGGGTTTTTATCCTACACCTTGGAAGTGTTACTTGGCTGCGATCAATGTCCGAGATCTTCAGAGCCACATGATATGTGCACGGTGAAATCTGTGGAGCACATTCAAAGTGACCAACAAAGAACTTATATTCAGGACCCATCCCATTGTTTGCTTTTTTAAAAAGGCCATGATCATTGAAACTGGAAACAAAATGTTTTGTCCCAGGCCTTAGAAATGTTACTCGACTGCGATCAATGTCCGAGATCTTCAGAGCCACATGATATGTGCACGGTGAAATCTGTGGAGCACATTCAAAGTGACCAACAAAGAACTTTTATCCAGCACGCATCCCTTTGTTTGCTTTTTGGAAGGGATCACTACAAAGGATCACTATCACTACATCTCCCAATTCACACATTAAAAACTTTCTTCTGAAAATATGACTAAAATCAGAGACTTTGAAATTCAGATCAAAATATTTCCTGGCCTTCACAGCAAAAAAGGCTAAATGTGATCTGTAGGGAAACTGGAAACAAAAGGTTTTCATCCTACACCTTAGAAATGTTGCTCAGTCGCGATCAATGTCTGAGATCTTCCAAGCCACATGATATGTGCACGGTGAAATCTGTGGAGCACATTCAAAGTGACCAACAAAGAACTTATATCCAGGAACCATCCCATTGTTAGCTTTTTTAAAAAGGCTATGATCATTGAAACTGGAAACAAAACGTTTTGTCCTAGGCCTTAGAAATGTTACTCGGCTGCGATCAATGTCCGAGATCTTCCAAGCCACATGATATGTGCACGGTAAAATCCGTGGAGCACATTGGGAGTGACCGACAAAGCGCCCCTGACTGCTGGATATCCTGTACCACATCCTGGCCGTGTTAAATGGTAACGTTAAGGGTCCTGAGGAATGGACACGGCTTCGATCCTGCGGTTCACAAATTGAGAGGGATGAACACCCTGACCCGACCACTGAACAAGTGTCAGGGCTATTTGCTATATTTTAGCATAGAAATTTTTGACTTGGATTCTTCTCTCTTTTAATGTTAACAGAATACTACTGTTAAACTACTGTTATCCCACACCAATTTAATTTGTTGGTTCTCATAGTTTTTCAGACAAAATATGAAGTGGCAGGGCAAAAAGAAACAGGCCTTATTCATTTAATTAAGGCATCCTATATGATATCCAAATGCTATGATAGGAGCCATGCAGCCAACATATTTATAATTTAAACAATGCTTTTTTAATTAATCAAATCACTGTATCGATAGATTGAAAAACTTTACAGGAAGACAAGGGCTTTCTTTAACTGTTGGGGCCAAAATATGAGTATTTCAGAGTTGATTCAGACTGACTAAAATCTTTTGGGCATATCAGAAACAAAATGAAGAGGCAAATCCGAGAACCAATTGAGTGTGTGTGTGGTGTGACCTAAGGACTAAGGGTCTAGAGGAATGGACACGACTTCCCACAATCGCAAATTGAGAGGGATGGACACCCTGACCCGACCAGTGAACAAGTGTCACAGCTATTTGCTATATTCTAGCATACAAATTTTCACCCTGGATTCTCTTCTCTCTTCAAATCCTTTGAATCTAAACAACACACTTTCCTTCAAGGACTTTTCTTAACCTGGTTTGAAGAATTTTATTTGTAAGGTCGTCCCCAAAGGCTACATGTAAATGCAAGGTAATGCACAGGTGTATTAAGAGATAAGAATGTCTGGACTTGATGGTACAAATGTAGATGTAAGTCTGGTGCTTCAACATACATGTACCAGTACTTTACTGAGGGGCTTGGATTTGACCACAATCTTTTTGGGGTAGTGGCTAATGACTTGTACTACATTTTAATGATAAGAGGGTTTTGTGATTTTAGTAAAAAATTTTTAATTGTTAAATTTAATTTAAGAAAAATGTTAAATTTTCTTAGTAGATTACCACATTTTCTAGAAGAGGAAATCTCAGAGAGGTATAAAATTGTGGTTACCATTTGCATTTAAATGTCATTGATCTTAATAATAATATATGCATTCATACATATTGTTCAATGTAAAGTTAACTGATTAGTTAGACTGCATTGTTTTTGGAACAATCTATGATTGTTTATAAACATAGGCTACGATACACCTAAAACGGAAACGATGGAATCGATTTTAAGTCTCTACCTCTTCAGAAAAAGGATGTAACTCAATCCTACAGCATTTGAAAGTATTGATTCCAAAGCATCTTCCCTTTGGAGGACTGGCATAGATGTATCTATAGCATCATCCATTCCAGTCCCTGTAGACCTGAAGAAGGCTGAAAAACCATTCAAGTATCATATAACACATTAACCTATTTAAAAGGCAATTGCTCTAAAGAGGACCACAGGGAAACAACCTCAGGTGCAATGGACAATTCTGCTTGATTATTGTATTGTGTACTGCAAAATATTTGATTTTGTGGTGTATATTATATTTTTTGCAGTAGGAGGGAAAATGAGGATTTTGCACTGTGTTTTGAAATCATGAGTGAAAAAATTCTGTCATGCAGTAGTATTACGATTTTAGTTGTCTTGAATAATCGGTGGAGAAATTTTGATTTGATTGTATTCATGGTCCTTTGAAAAGTAGAGTTTCGTGAATTCATGGGTGAAAACATTCGGTATTACATAGTAGTAAAATACAATTCATGGTGTCTTGAATTAGCGGTGAAGAGGTCACTTAGAAAAAAATAAAAAACACTCTAAAAGATCTGCATTTATGGTAATCAGGTTGACAGAAAAAAAACGATTCAAAACCTTCAATTACCATACTGTACACTGAGACGTGCTCAGTTGCCAAAGCAAACAAAAAACATCCTCAAAAATTCTAGTCAAGCGGAGAATTGATGAAAGGTTCTGATCAAGAGATCCCGCGGTGCCCCGGGGCGCGCTATCGATTTCCGTCCGTTGTAATGGTGGGCACCCGGGGACTAATAGAACCAAACACCTCAAGCTGACCAAAAACATGACAATTTGACAAATCGCTTCTGTCATATTTCATCGCCAGACTGCGTTATCTCGGTAACGCAAACCTGCCTCAGCAGTGTTCAACAACTGTGCCTTTCAATTAATTGTTTGCATTCATTGATTACCAAAATTGAACGTAGCAAGAAGTACTTATTGCATTATTTCATAGATTCTTTTCATACCATGTATGAAAAAATGTAAACAAGTACAGATGTTCTTCAGAATCCTTTTAAATCTATTTTATTTATCTCAAATATTGCTAAAGATTCTTCTTGAAACTGACAATCTCTGAGCCTTTCAATTAATTGTTTGCATTTATTGATTACCAAAATTGAACACAGCAATTTCTCTGTGACTAGAAGTAATTATAATTCTTGAGCATTGCAGTATTTCACAGATTCTTTTCATACCATATATAAAAAATATATAAACAAGACAAGTCTTCTTCCTGTTTAATCTACATGTATTTTATTTATCATATTGCAAAATATTCTTCTTGAAACTAGCAATAGGTTTGACAGCATTATTTTTGTCATTCTTTTCCAGACAGATGTACCGAAAACTTGGCAGGATTCGCGTTAAATGGCTGAGAAATTTGTTGCCTTTCCTCTGTGTCTGCATTTGATTTAATCAAGCAAACCGTGTAAGGATGCCCTTCAGCATAACACTTACATGTAGCAGGGTGGGCATGCTGTGAGTCTGCTGTTATGTTACATCCAACCACTTACCGTCGAACTCAAACCCTGCGGGTCACAGCTGAAAACAATGTTTTATTAAACGAATAGGCTGTATCAGTTTATTTTATTGGTGCTTTGATTTTTTCTTCTGATTTAAAAATGAATGGTCCCAGATATCAGATGCTGTACACATCAGGCATGGAATGTTTGAGTTTTGTACATTTGAAAAAGTCATGATTGGGACTGCATTTTTAATCCCAAATTCATTATGACTTGTATTGCTTAAACCTTTTTTGTCAGCTTTTAAGGTTCCAAAGTTACATGATGATGAAAGAAAATTATTTTGGTTGTTTTCCTGTAACATTACCGGTAACTTTAAAATTTATACTACCTGTATATCTGATGTTATATTGTCCTGTGTCCATGTTTCTTAAGGGGCCTGCGTGGCAGCATGGTGAGCTGTGTGGAGCATCTCACAGTTCGGTAGGAACTTTGATGTTACTTCTACATTGTTACATTTGTACATCATACTACATGCGTGTTCACTTTATCTGGTTACATCCAAGCCCGCGTTTCTAGTCACCACTACATGTATGTTCTGACAACCCAAATTTTAAGGTATCCAATGCAATTTTTGCACTGTAACTACAGCAAAACTGGATTTTCAAAGTCGATTTAGGGAGTTAAATTAATGATCCTATCTCCGTATACTGGTATCTGTGAGGCAAAAATGCAATGTCCCTGATGGAAAATCGTTGCAGCATCACATAGGCTGGTTCTAGCTATTGATGGGCGCTATCCAAAAACAAAGGGACTCACGTAGCTTGTTTTGGGGCTGTTTCAAACACTTCAAGTATAAAATGATGACAAAAATGTTCAGTAAATGTCAATATCAGACAGATTTCGTCATCCAGAATATTCTTCCTTTCCCCACCCTGAAATTGCATTGGATGCCTTTAATACAATATCATTATATTGTTCCAATAGCCCTAACCCAATACTTGGGAGTGTAGGGATGTCAGAACATTGGGGAACGTTTCCACTAAGGAGCATACTTGGGAAGAATAGCTTAAGCTACCTAGCGAGATTTCATTTTGATTCGCCCATCTCTGTGCTGTAAATCTGTATGTGGTTGTGTGAATACATGACTGTTAAGTATCCAAAAAATACTTGGGAAGAAGTTTAAACATAGCTACCATTAATTTTTGTTTTCTTCCTTGACCAGGTTATTCGGTCTCCTCCTGGTGTTTACCGACATCGCCATCGTTGTGGCGGACCTGGTTACCCCCGACAACAGGAAGAACCAGCTGGCCTCGCGGATCTGTCAGGTCGCGTCCGTCTGCATCGCAGGTTACTTCATGATGGACATCCTGCTGCGCATCTGTGGACGAGGGTAGGTCACACCAGGACAAGACACTTTTTATGCCAAAAAACAGTTACTCAAGCAACTTGATATGATTTTGGAAATGGTCAGACGTTTCAGGTAGCATCCACTACCTTTCGTCAGTGACACTACGAGACTGCAGAGACACTCTTAGTGTCACTGACGAAAGGTAGTGGATGCTACCTGAAATGTCTCTTTCCAAAATCATATAAAGTTGCTTGAGTAAATGTTTTTTTTTGGTGTATCTTATTACCTGGATGTCTAACCTTCACCAACGTATCAAGACAACATTGTAGGGCAAATGCCAGCTCGAAATTTCTTTTCATCATGTTTCATCCTATTTCCCATTGACAGATAATTCCTAGAAAATATTTTTTCCATCATCTTGTTCAAACTTATGTCATTTACTACAAAGAAATTCTGGCTTAAAATTCCAAACTGGCCTTATGGTTTATTCAAATTTGGATTTTTATCCACTGATTTTTGCCAATCAAGATTGACAGAACGGTCTTATAATTTCCCTGGCTTTTTTTCCGTCAAATGACGGACAATGTCTATCAAAAACCCTGTATCATTTCAAGCCAAATTAACTAATATCAGATAATTCAATACATCTTCTACTACCAATGCAAACCTAATCAGTTTTTTAATTGACAACCATTGATTGGTTAATATTGATTAGATTATGGCCCTTCAAATTGAACAATATATTACATGTATATATTATATGGGTTTTACTGCTTGAAATTGCTTCCTTCAATATTTGCTGCAACAGGATAGATAATACCAAGCCTGTATTTCAAATTTTTAAAATTACAACATTATGTATTGTTTATATCATTTCTTAAAGTTTAAATTTCCATATCTATATAACTACTATTTGGTGTAAATCATACAATCATATACATATAGGTGTGGCCATGTACCTGTTGGCAACTTGATGGGCACTTTTTCATATAAATGCAGAAAAGTAAGCCTTGGGCTGCTTTTGATAGTAATTTGTTTTATTTAGTCCCTGCTGCATTTTTCATATCGATAAATCAGGATTATCCAGAGTGACCCAAGATCTCGGTTCATCTGTCATACTTAAATATCAATAGGACGTCCAGTTATGAGAATTCCAATTTCCCATTTCTTCTGAAGGCATACATCATAATCCTCAGTATTACAAGTCTTGTTAGGCAGTGGTCGAAATACTTTTTTTCAGTGTTCTGCAATATTTTCAGTCAAGCCATTTTTTTGTTGTTGTTGTTGTCCTCATACATACATACATACATACATACATACATGTATATGAGAACACATGTAGGGAGAAATACATGTACCATGGCTTGGTGACTCATAAACATTAGCCAATCCCTGAAAATAGTGCAATGATCAAGAGGACACCAGACGTATTTTGCCTGAAAAAAAGTACTTTTAGAGCTTGCAGACTTGTCCAGGCGAGAATTTTTTTCTGCTGTTTGAATCCAGCTTAGCATTACACGTACTAGGAATTCTACTTTGAGCAGGAAAAAAATTTTTTAAATTCAGGATTTAGAAAAGAGTATATTTTTCATTTTCATTGAAAAAAAATTGTCAGTACGTCAACCTATTCTGCCCCCAACTGTTTCCTCGTCATATGCAGAACCGTTGATGGATGTTGGTTTGGGATTGTGAGGTGAATCTTATCCTGGCCGTCGTGCCACCCAGATGATTTGGAGTCATGTCAGGTTCATCATTAAGCACACCCGTATCCGCTATGGTCTCATTCTGGGGGTAATTTAGCCCCTGAGCCGTGTAGTACCACCAACAGGTCCAAATCTCAGCTTTAGGATGAGCTTCTAACAGCAACTAACTCCAAATTGTCTGCGAATACCGTGCTGTGATTACTCTAAAGTCCGACGCCCTCCAGGTCTGCATGCCAATTACACATGATCGCCTCTTTCTCTTTTATCAAACACAAAATGTACAGAATCCGCATCATCAAGGACAAAGGAATATCAGTTCATCCCAATCTGATTCGCCGTCTGATTGGAATTTAATGGAATGATTTCTTTTGAATCTCAATCTCCTTTGATCTGAAAGCAATCAGTCCATGTGGTCAGGGAAATGTTCATCATGCCGGAACGTTAACTTCCATCAAATTAGGGCTAACGAATACGTACAGGTTTGACCTTCCTTTATTTACCGCACCGCGGCATCAATCATGGTTTTAATGCAAAGATGTGGGATGTTTACAAAAAAGGACATCAGAATTTTATGGAGACAGATGATGGAGAGTGATGTATTTGGGTTTTTATTATTGTCCAAACAGTCCCCGTGCAGTCGCAGCCTTTATACTGCTGAATTGATGCAGGGTATCACATAATAATCAATACAAATCACAACAATTACAACATTCAAATAATACAAATGATACACATATCTGTCGCAAGGGTCTGTGCGGCTGCCATTCGGCGCCACAAGGTGACCTCAATACGACTTTCCCCAACCGAAGTTAGGTACCCATTCACACCTGGGTGGAGTGAGGAAATTCGTGTAAAGTGCCTTTCCCAAGGGCACAACGTCGGGGTGCATGTTCAGACATGTACCGGGTACGACTCGGGATCGAACCCGGGCCTCCCGGTTCACAGTCTATTGCTCTAACCACTACACCACCCGACGCCACACAGGTGAGGTGGGATGGTCCGGTTGTGCTGGCGTAAGTACGGTATGATCGTACAGGCTATCTGTCTGGAAACCATCTCTTATGAACACAATCGCTCAGGACCAATAGACATGTCTGAGACATACAGTACTTGCAGCCGCTGGGTAGTTGACCCGTCAAGTTCACTGATGGAATGTGAATTGAAGGAGTCGGGACACGTAAAACGTCTTGGCCTGACTACATTTGTCGCACAATAATATACAGGTTTCCAGAAATTTTGTTTTGAAAAGTGGAAGGAATAGAAAATGATTGTATCTACCAACGGAATAGCAGGCAATAGATGCAGATATTTCCACATTTGGAAAAACGGTGAGACAGAAACTTCTTCAACACAACACTCACAAATGTGTTCTTGTCCTTGGTGCTGATTTCTGGCTGTGGTTAACACATTTTTACCTTATGGGAGGGAGACATTGTAAAATTGATCTGATGAGACATTTCTCAGTCTGACAACAGGATTAAGATGTTACCAATTCTCCTGACTCAGAGGTGTTGGGTCATCAAGCTTCTATGGGTCTGACAAGTGGAAGGGCTGCTAAAAGCATGATGTACCCGCAAAGAATTGCACTAATATAAAATAGTTTTTGCATATCTTTAAAATGTATCAATGGTGATGGCCACAAGTTCTGATATATCCTTTGTACCCTGTCTACAGCAAAGACTTCTTTTCGAGAGGCTACAATGTAGTGGACCTGGCAGTGATTGTGATCACGTTCACTGTCATTCTTGTCTATACACTGGTGGATTTCGGCTTCCCATACGCCAAGTATGCAAGGTGAGTACTAGATCTAGAGACTTGTAACCCAGGGTTAAATGGCCCTCTTGTGGCCACCTTTAAAACACCCTGACAACTTCACCTGGCATCCATTCAATTCTGCACCAAAACTGAGTGTTAGTCCTCCTTATGGATTTAATGGTAAAAATGATCGATATCTTTATGGCTCTCCGGCAGTCAGGGGACCAAATTGCTTGCCAATCTACACGGAGGCGTGAAAAGTAACAACCAATAAAGTTTCTCCAATTAATCAATGAAGGTTGCTGTGTCCCATAACCGAAGAACATAAAGATGCGGACTGAATATCGGGATTGGTATACTAAAAACATTTCTTCATCATTTAGGATAATGTCATAATTCTGCCAAGTATCCTAAGACTGCTAAATGTTTTTGACGAGAGAATTTAAAGAGAGCTACTAAAAGAAATGCAGCATCGGTAATCCTCAAGGTATTCACAGTTAAGATATATGTTGAAGACATTCATGTAAAGGCCTCGAATCCCTCGATAACATAATTCTATGTGGCAGTTTTAGGGTACTCGGTGGAGTGATGAAAGTTGGCGTTAGATGTTTATTATACTCTTTTGGCCTAAAATTATTATTGGCAGACGCATATCATATTTCTAGGACCTTATGATAATGGCAAATCTCATTATACTAACTTCTTTTTCGTCTTTTCTGTCTGGTGATGCCAAGTTAGTTCCTTGGTTTTCAAGCTCAAAGAAAAGAACAAAATATTTCGAGAGAATGTCAATTACAGAGATACTATTTGTCCCAGGTCGATTCAATCGGTCAAAAACCTGCCAATAGAATGTTGGGCCAAATGCATTTGCCCTTCCAATATATATTTGATGTAATAGTTGTAGTGTACAACTATCCTGAGAACAAATGCATGACACTTCGAAGAAAGCTCTGTCTCAGCATGCTCTCTTTTACCTCCATGGTCTCAGGAAGACTGAAAATTTACAATGTATTTAATGATCCTTTAAATTTAATGTCATTAACTGACCCTCTACTGTCATTGATTGCAATTGCTTACTTACTGATCATTTATTGATCCTTTACTGTCATTTACTGATCCTTTACTGACATTTGCTGAACATTTACTGGTAATTTACATATTTTGTGCATATTTAGTACATGTAAGACAACATGTTGTTGCTGTTGTTTCAGACTCGTGGTGGTTGGAAGGTTGATCAGAGTTCTGATTGTCCTTCATTTGCTGACAGAGAAGAAACAAATGGACCGATGCAGAAGAAAAGTGAGTGAAACAAATTGCCCAGTGCTTAGATGTATGTCCAACACAGCACGTCGGCAGAACGTACTGCACCTGCGCGAAACCCGTAATGTATTGTGCATTTCGGCAGAATGTCTCATATAAGGTTGTATTCGCTCACATAAGGTTAGCATTTCGACAGTAGTTTCCAAATGTTGTGTCGAGAAGAATGTCTTCTGCAACAGGCAAAATTCTGATGCAACGTTGACCAAAAACCCAACGAAAAACGCGAAAATACAGGGTTCTGCGCAGGCGCAGTACGTTCTGCCGACATGCTGTCCAAAACTCCTATGCTGTGGTGACAACTTAATGTGTTCTCACAACCCTAACCCTATGTCAGAACTAGGGGTGTCAGAACATAAGACTATCCCCATCATCTATAGAGCACCTCATCTTTTTAAATCAACCCTTATTGAAAAACAGCAGAGGCCTTCCGCTAAGAGCACAGAGATCATGTTCTTAAATGTTCTCGACATTTTGTGTATATATATGTATTTATTATCATGTCATGATCTATCACTGCAGAAATATACAATTGTCAACTCCATAAATGTCAACTTTAGTCATCTATGAAATGCAATGTCTTCCCAGAGCTGAGCTGAAAAAGCCATGACTTATAAACTTCAACAGTCATGCTTCTAAATCAATACTTGGGTAGGGAACATTACTGGTGGGAAACATTCCTCAGAACTGTTTAAGTTAGAATCAATACAAAGTCAGCAGACGTACATGCATTCATGGGGAGTGTAGTTATTGGTTTATTTTATGTTCCTCACAATAAGTTGATTCACAATTTGAACTGTGCATGTGTTAGGTCCAATGTGCAAGGCCCCTAACTTGTAAACTGTTATTGTTTTTAATACATAACCATGTGTTTTTGTTTGTTTGTTTGTTTGTTTGTTTGTGTCTCAGGTGTCTAACTTTTACATACATGTATTACCCTCAATGCATCACACTTAAGCTGGACAGGTGCACATGTGTTACGCCGTACAGTGGTTATACCGTCGATACAGATACAGAAGCTAGTGTGTTACGCCAAAGGGCAGTTTTAGCAGCTATACAGATACAGATACACTGCACATGCACAGCCCAAACTGTAAACCAGCTTATAACTGTTATTCTCTTTTTGCAGTCTTCGAAAAAGAAGAAGCAGTGTTGTTGCAGACACACTTATGACCTGGATCTTACTTATATAACAGGTATGATTATCAGCAGGTAGACTACATGTATGTTGTATATATACGGTAATCATTATGTATATTCTTAATTTTGTTATGAAACATAAACAATCGACCAGGAATAATACCAGATAAGATTATGCCATGTAATAATCCATGCCATGAGGTGTAACTCAACCAGGTATTTCCCCATGATTATACAATGAAGTCCAGAAAACCCCACACACTTCATGGAAGTCTAAAATCTCCAGTTTTGCATTTTCTATCAACTGGTTAATGAATAGACTCATGTATGTTATATTGCCTAGTTTATTTTCTTACCAAAAGTCTCTCCACCCATAACAGAGCGTGTGATCGCCATGACGTTCCCCACCTGTGGTCAACAACATGAACACCTGTATGAAGCTGCAATAAAGGTACATTTTCATGTACAACATACTACAGTTCTACATGTAGTATGTGAAAATATAGCATTTAGAACAATTCACTGCACTTGGCTTTTAATGCATAAATTCTCTGTAGCTTTTAACCCTAGGGTAGGTGAGATAATCATATACAAATGGTTATATGTTATGCAATATTAGAGGATTTTTCTACCTTAATTTGTATAACATTTTCCCTGTTACAACTAAGAAAGACAGTAACATCTGTGTCCATAACATCACCAGGGTCCATGATATCGCCACCTTGAGAAACAGTGTGCTGAAAGATATTTTTACTGCAACATACTTTTGGTATGCACTCCTTCACACATCAAATGTACATACCTAGGGTATGTTGCAGTAAAAATATCTTTAAGCACACTATTTCTCAAGGTGGCGATATTATGGACCCTGGTGATATTATGGACACAGATGTTAGAGTTTTAGATTGAAGTTTTTATTCATAATTGAGCATAGCATAAGTCCAGTGCCATGTTTTCAACAGGAAGTAGCACACTTGCTAGATGTCAAGCACAAGGACCACTACAAAGTCTACAACCTATGCAGTGAGTGTGTTTGTTTCACTATTATAAACATAAAACATAAGATATTCAGTACCATGGACATAGCCAATTAGGACCCCCCCTATAATGTACATAAGGTTTTATGGTTTACGCAGTTATTAAGGTCTTATCCATCCTTTTACACTAATGCCTGCCATAAAACTGAGTGTATAAACATGTTGTTTGTCCCATACTCCAGGTGAGAGGACGTATGATGAGTCCCTGTTCTACCACAGAGTGGAGAAACTGTCCATTGATGACCATAATGTTCCCAGTCTCAGGTCAGTAACACACCTTAAGCACATCATACTGAGACAGGCACAAACTACATCTGTATTTGTACATGTATCTGTATAGCCAGTATAACTGCCCTTCAGTGTAACACACCAGCTTGATATTACTGTACATCCTACATATCACTATAAAGCAACTTGATTACTGTAATTCACTTTATGTTCACGGTAACAAAAAGAAATCTTTGATGTAGTGTTGTAACAATCAACTAGGGCTAATTATGAGTTTTGGTATTTTTTCTAATAGGAGTCTTTTATATATTTACCTATTTTGCATTGTGGGAATTATCGCAAATTATATGACTAAAGATATATTCAAATCTGTCTCTAGCATTGAGACTGTTGAAATTTGTTGTACTTCATTCATCTAAATAGCTTATAACGTAAAACATAATTCATATTTTTCTTAGGGAGATGCTTCAGTTTTGCGCCGGTGTCCGAGAATGGATGATGATGGACGAACGGAACATCATCGTTGTCCACTGCCGGGGCGGAAAAGGTCTGGAAACTCAATTCTCCTGGTCTTTCTGAGTTTGTTGACCCTGTGACTTCTGCTCTCTATCATGTGACTGTGTTTGAGTTTTTTGGATCCCCTTTCACTAGGATGACCTACACAAGTTTGATTTTGTCTGTTAACAATAGAACGGATCATTTCAGCTTCCACAGGTAATAGTTTCTTCATCATTGATAGTAGATGTTGTTGTCATTATTGTTAACCGCTTTCAGCATATCTTGCAGTAAAGACTCAATATCACTATAGCTCACATTGTTCAATTAAAGGCAATGTGTACCATTGAACAGTAATCTGTGTGGTAGGAAATAGCAAATTATTTATGTTTGCTTGTAATGAAATATATATTTTAGTAAGTCTGTGTAAAAAAATAAGGCAACTTCTTTGTCTTTAAGAGAAATTGTCTGACCTATATGGCAGAGTAACTCTGAACTGTGACCTGATTGGCTGGCTCTGAAGACAATGCTGACCAATCACAACAAATTTACTTGAAATTTTAGGTCTACAGATTTGACAATAAGTGTATTGTTTTTAAAACATGACAAATTACACAAAAATCCCAATGTTTGACACATGCGAGGCATTTCGAAACAGTATTTTAATGGAATTTTATTAGTTTGACCGAGTACAACACAGACATTTGAAAGCAAAGCCTTAACTCCTAAAAAGAAAGGTGACTCTACCTACGTAAAGCAAAGAAAGTAAACTTTAATTTGCATATACATGTAATTATGGGTGTATAGTCTCAGATCAAAAGTGTAGTACTACATAATATTCATTGTTGTTTTTGATAGTTACACTACTTGTAGTATATCATATGTAGGAATGGAGTGATGTGTCTCTTTACACTGTGAGTTTGCTGTCTGAATGTAGGAAGGACAGGAATGATGATTGCTTCCTGGCTGGTCGACTGTGGACTTTTCTCACAAGCAAGGGTAAGTAATTGTCAGAGTAGAGAATCCAATGTGGTAGATACTAGGAGAGATTGCAATCAGAGTATCTGTCAAGTAAAACTCTGACTGGTTCACATTGCACGGTCACCGAAGCATCAGCTGAATAAAAGACTTGGTTATGTAAAAAAAGAGTCTCTTTACTCATCCTGATCTTACTGTAGAAGTACAACACTGTGTTGTTTAAAATGATTGACACCTGTCCATACAGGCCAGCTTACAGTACTTTGGGAACCATCGGCGCCCAGATGGATCCATCAATGTCGGCACCAACTACCAAGGAGTGGACACACCCAGCCAGGTACATAGCACTTGTCTGTTTTCATCCATATAAACGTTGAACTTTTCATTGGCCAACTTTAAGACTTCTTTTATTATCATATATAGTTCTAATAAGGAGTAAAATAAAAGTTACATCCTTGGCCCATTTCAATCCTCACAGGGAATTTATCTGAAATAGTCACTATCTATAGACTACGTCTCCAAAATAGATGTTTACCATTATGTAACGTAGTATGTTAAACTGTTGAGATGATGACACTGCATAATTTATTATCATTACAGGGCCGGTATGTTCTCTACTATGAGATTGTGAAAACAGAACTGGATGGGACACAGCCTGAACCAAAACCCCTCAAACTGAAGACGGTCAGAATCATGTCCATTGCAGGTACATCTACTGTTATACCTCTATATGTAGCATTTAGTCCTGTGGTTAGCGACCATTCCTCTGGACCAAGGGGTTGGGAGTTCGAATCCCGCCTGTTGTCACTCAACACTCACTGACATGCATGCTATTGGAGGGAGTCTCAGTCCCTAGGATGGGACGTTTAGCTGTGGTCCACTGTTCATTGTGCTTGTCGAAAAGAGCTAGGGGAAATACCCCAAAATTGTACATACACAGGGTGCTATATAGATGTTACTGTGTGTGCAACCCATTATGTATATGTTAACTAAGTTAAACTGCATGAGTTTGTTGTGTGTTTGCTGTAGGAGTTGGGACTGGGAGCGGCAGTGACCTGAGGTTTGAGGTGTTTGTCTACAGACAGAAAGCCTTGGAGTGTGACCTTGGCAACAAGGTCAACTGTATGGTAGGTACACACAGGAACTTCTAGCAAAGGTCAAGGTTATTGTAAACCATTGCTATGAAAAAAATACTGAAATATAAACAGTAACTGTTGTAATTTCTCTTAGCATTTACTTACCCACCATGAGTAGGAAACAAAACTATACTTTTTAATTAATAGGAGTTCAATTTACTCTCTTCAATTAATAGGGTTTTAAGTTTCTTATATATTTGCCATATTTTCTTGTGACCCAAGGTTGGACTCCACCACAGAGAGAACTGTGTTGTGGTGGAGGTGCTGAACTCCCCAGTCCTGTGTGACGACGTCAAAATCAAGTTCTTCTCTTCATCAGTAAGTCACGTGTTTTACAAAAAGACATTCAGTACGATGGACATAGCCAGTAGCCAATACAAAAGAACATTCAGTACCATGGACATAGCCTGTAGTCAATACAAAAGGACATTCAGTACCATGGACATAGCCTGTAGTCAATACTAAAGTACATCCAGTACCATGGACAGTGCCAATAGTCAATACAAAAGGGCATTCAGTACCATGGCATAGCCTTTAGTCAATACAAAGATATTCAGTACCATGGACATTACCTAGTCAATACAAAAGGACATTCAGTACCATGGACATAGCCTGTAGTCAATGCAAAAAGACATTCAGTACCATGGACATAGCCAGTAGTAAATACAAAAGGACATTCAGTACCATGGACATAGCCAGTAGTCAATACTAAAGGACATTCAGTACCATGGTAATAGCCAGTAGTTAACAAAAAGAACATTCAGTACTATGGACATGGCCAGTAGTCAATACAAAAAGACATTCAGTACCATGGACATTGCCAATAGTCAATACAAAAGGACATTCAGTACCATGGACGTTTTTTTCCATTTTTGTAAAGATAGTACTATACTGAGTACTGAGATACTCAGTACTATGCTGCTGCCGCTGCGCCGCATGCCTGCAAAGCTGGTGTGTTACACTGAAAGGCAGTTATACCAGCTATACAGATACTTTCTTTGTAGAATGTATCTATATGTTTCCTTTTCCTGCAGCTGGATGTTCCCAAAGGCTATGATGACTGTGCGTTCTACTTTTGGTTCCACACGTCGTTTGTCGAAGACTGCAGGTATATTCCTTAAGTTTGTTCCTTAGCCAATTTGTCGTGACAGAAAATACAAACTCTTTGACTATTTTTGAGTATTTCCTTAACAATGCATTGTGCTTAAAAATACATACTGCAGATTTAGACTGTTATGTAGCAATTGTAACAGGATCCATTGCTTTCTTAAAAGTGAACAATAAAATCTACCGAGTAGCTCAGAAGCTGCTAAGAGTTCTGTAGGGCTTCACCAGATTTAGGAAAGCTATTGTTCTGCAGTGTAACGCCCAATTGTTGACTGCTTATTCCTCTGTGCCACCCTGCCTGTACCCACCCCCAGGTTGTACCTCCCACGACACCAGCTGGACAACCCACACAAGCCCAAGACATGGAAGGTGTTCGGGGAAAACTTTGGCGTGGAACTCATCTTCACGGACGTCCCCAACTCCATGATTCCAAACGGATACGGTTGACGAACAAAAAAACTGATGCTGAAGCAGCCCCAGAGCTCTACAGTTGTCATCAATGTCAGCATATCAACCACTGGCTTCTAGAGACAGCACAATGATATATATATTACACAGGTCTCTACTGGTGACATATTTGTACTGTACCGTAGTGTGTTGTAATGTAATGTGAATTTGTCGTCTTTTTTCCTTCACAAACTCATGGTGTGTATCGCTGGATATATCAACGGACCAGATGATTAGTACTATTGGATATTATCTGACTATCATATTTGAGCGTGTAAATAACTGAAACTGTCCTGAATTATCATTAGAAATTTAGGAAAAATCAGAAATGAAGAGATGATCAGTATTATTAGGAAAGTTGACCAATGTTAAGGTATCTGAGTGTGTAATATACGTTAGGAATATTTTTAAATGTTATGAAGGTTAGAAGTACGATTTCTTGTACTAGTATCTGATACGTATATGGTCATATTGCAAGACTTGGTGTTCAATATTGTTCTGTCTGAAGATTAAGGGATTTAAACTGTTAAAAGTTTATTAGGGTCAATGATTCATTCAACTCTTCAGCTGTTCCGACAAAAACATCATGTGCCAATATCATAGCCGAGGGAAAATACAACACAGAAGAAGAATATTCTATTATAAACAAAAGTATACATTTGTATGTTGGCTCCAACTCTAACTGTGGTAAATAAACCCTTGAAAAAGAGATAAACTTTGTATTGAAGATTTGTACCAAAAACCCTTATAATATCCAAGCTTGTACAGATGTATTTAGGATTAATATTGTCCAATGAAAACTATAACCCATTGTAAACATTGGCAAGGGTGTGATGGCAGTCCTAATGGTCTTTTTCATGTTTGATAATAGAATCGTTGAAACAGATATGCAACATCGTAACACATGTGATGCTGTCATGTGGGATAATTGTTATGAATAAGGATAGTGCAGTATTAAAGACCACAGGGAAAGTAGGGTTTCAGATACATCTGTCATGGTGTTTGTAATATTTACTGTCGCAATTTAATAAAGACATTGAGAATTCTGCTCATTCTCTCACATTGTGTATTTCGTACACGTTTGCCCTGCCATAAAATTGTTTGTATAATAATACCCCCCATGCTTACTTGGTACAGTCCAAGACAAGACAGTCGTGCAATGAGGACATCTTGCAGATAACAAGGAAAATGCATTTCGTCACACAATTCAAAAAATTTTTTCTTCCACTCTCTTATATTTTCTTACCTTACATTCTCTTGTTATAGTCATACCCTCCTTGGCGAACTGTTTCCCTGTCTATACACCATAATTTGATGACCGAGAACTCCAGTTCTAATGCTTTATAGAATGCACAGCCTTATAGGTCTCCTTGATTAGCGCCATCAGGGAAAGGGAATTTTCCCGCCAAAGCAAATTTTTCGGGCATACTGTCTGTACCTCATTGTTGTGTAGCTGCACATGACCAATAGACACTTCGGAAGAGTTCGATGAAAATTTAGCTACATTTTTAGGTCAACAGTTAATTCATCAATTCATTAGCATTTAATTCATGCACACATGGCCATATTTCACACAAGTGGCAAATTCGAGAAGGAATATCCCCCGAAGATGGCCTGCTCTTGTCAAAGCTCGCGATTGCCTCAGAAATCTGGGAAAAGTTCGCGAGGATCGTTGCTGAAGTTCAATTATCTGTCATTAAATGTCGTCCCTATTATCTCTGCTGGAGCGGTTCCAACCTTTCAGGTCATGATCAGGCCTCTAGCATATACTAACGCACAGAAGTTGGACGAGTTGCACTGATCCTTCTAGCGCAACAACGCTGCATGTAAACAGAAAGGGCAAGGCGTTACTGTCTCGCCAAGTTATGTGATACCACAACATGCATCGCGCAGTCATGACTCCAAGCTACATCCTACGATTGTGAAAAAACAAGTGGACGTAAGGACCAGAATAAGGCTGAAGGATTTTGGCTAAAGTTTGAGACTTGTCGCCTACCCTCTCGACTACTTCCTTATAAGAACACTACTAGAAAAAGCTTCTTATTCCTCTTTCAATGGCTGTCGAAGTTGGAAAGGCCATCTGTATTATGACTTGATATCTCTCAATTGTCTAACAGGATAGAAGATTTGGTCTGGCTTGTTACAGGTAAGATATTTGAGTGTTATTTTTGTTCAAATTTAAGGTTGTGTTCTTGTTGGGAGGGGGGTAGATTTCAATGTGAACGTGGTTGTCACTTTGGGCGCTAACTTCGTATGGTCATATCCAGAAACCAACCTCACTCTCTTAATTACTGAATCACATAAATGCATCCCATCCCAAAGTTTTCATTTGACGGCTTGCATTTACTGTCCTGTGTATTTGAGGTGTGTCTGTGTCAATGTGATCCATACCTTTCTTCAACCGTAATATGAAATAGGTTGCTTTGTAAATGCTGCTCTAGAATGGTAATGAATACATGTATATATGAACGATTAATATCTGGGAAAGTGGGCTTATCATACGCTAAGTCGGTCGCTAACCCCCGTCCCGAAACTCGGGCCCTCAGGCACTTCCTTGTCGCATGGGCGTACCTCTATCATGTTAATGCTTCAGGTATTTTTGCCGGGGGATACTCTCCGAACAGAGGTTTGGGTTGGGGGTATTCTTAGTGTGTTTTTAGGCTTTTTTTTCGGGGTTTCTTTTTTGCCCTGGAATTTTTCCCCCCAGGGTTGGGTGAAAGAAAAATTCCAGTGCAAAAAAGAAACCTCGATAAAAAAAAGCCTACAAACACACTAAGAATACCCGAAAACCCAAACCTCTGCTTGGAGAGTAGCCGGGGGGCAACAAGGCTGAGTATCTCGTTGAGAGTCATGGTGTCAGGTGTATTACCATATGAATGAAAACCAAGCAGATGTCAGGAGAGAAAGATTGGCCGAATGAAACAAGAATTTTTTTTTACCGAACGTCACCGTAAGTGAACTATTACAAAATGTCTCTTCTCTGTTAAAAAGAGCTCATGATAAAGTAATTACAATCATAAGCAGTGTGCATAGGCCGTCTCACAGTAAAGCGTCGGTCACAACCCGCCGTTCGTGCATCTGCGTGCTGTCTACGTGCAAAAACGTGGGCAAACGTAAGGGATCCGGAAAGCCTTGGTCGAAACCCGCCGTACGTGCTTCTGCGTGCTGTCTACGTGCAAAAACGTGGGCAAACGTAGGGCATCCGTGCGTGGTGAGTACCGCCTCCGTACGGAATCCTACGGATTTGGGAGCACGTAGACACGCCGTAGAACTTAAAGTGCATGTAAAACTTTTTTCTGCGTGCGGTCTGCGGATTCACCACCCATGCGTGCGAGTACGGGCACCGCGCGTGCAACGCACTGACTCCGTAAACTGTTCTCACGGACAAAAGGCACGTACGGCGGGTTGTGACCGACGCTTAAGACGGTCTACATAAGTATCTCATAACTGGTCCGCGCTATATGATTTTCATTCATACCAATGAGCTTGAAATAAGTACTAGTTATTAACGCGTACGCCACTCCTTTCAAAGCGTATTTTTAAAGATTTGACAACACGCGATTGGCCACTTCCATTGTGAACAGTACTTTATAATACTGTGAATGTTATCTGTGACAACCTATGGAGATTACATGTCTAGAGCGCCCAACCATAGTAAGCTGTTCCATTGTCAAGTATGAACTTATATGCGACACCACCATGGCACTAATTGTGATGCTTCTATCGAGAGATTGACACGGGTCGAGTGACTAGAAGTAAACTACTCTCCAAGCAGAGGTTGTTGGGGAAGATTGTTACGGGTAACCTTTGTATGTATGCCCCGTTTTTACTGTCTCTACCCTCACCTAGTACTCTCCTTTGGTGGGGAAAATTGTTACCTCTCTATAAAATATAGAAAGGCCACAATCTTCCCCACCAACTTCTGCTTGGAGAGTATTTAAGTAAACACCCTCTTACAACAATGGAGCAAACGGGTTGAACCTATGCAGGTCTGTTTGGCACTAACTCAACTTGAAGGCTGCTGAGACGTAATTAAGTTGTTTTGATGGACGATTATATACATGGGTGGATCTGGGGATTCCCAGGCAGCTTACATATGGCCATGGAGTAGCCTCCACCAGGCCTTTCTACGGGAATACCAGTCGTAGAATTCGGCAAAAAGGAGAGTAAAATTGTCCAAGGGAGTCCAGCCGAAGGGAGGTAGTTTCTTTCTAACTGAGCGGTCAGCCAAACCTACAAGTCGGCCAAACTCCCCCGGCAAATATTCTCCTATATATAGACAGCGTAGTTAGTATGGTAGAGACTATCCATGGAGTTAGAAGGAAATGTTATGGCACCTCACTTGAAAGGGCAAACCTCCTGTGCAGGCCTCCGGGCTCGTTTGCCGGCCATCCTACAACCAGCCGCCTGGAGAAGGTTTGTGCTGGGTACAAACCTTCTCTGGGAGGCTGGTTGTAGGATGGCCTGCAAGAGAGCGCGTTAAAATTTTACAAAACGCAGTAGCAAAACTCCCTCCGGCCCGGAGGCCTGCACAGGAGGCTAGAAAGAGCAGAGGTCACCATGATGGCGTTTTACCTTTTGCACTGATAGCAAAGTGTTATTGAGAGCCCTGAGTCAAAGCAGCTTTTTTTGGTGTGGAACCAACACTCTTCCAGCCGATATATTCACAACGCCTCCCTCCCCTTCTCCTTCAAAACTGCGTACACTTAATTAGAGAACCATGTACAGTATAGACACATACTGAATCTGGTCTCTTCATTTATCTCCGTAATCCAGCAAAACAATTTGGCACTGAAAAAAAACTCTGAAGAGCAAGTTTTGTCAGTCAGTCATCCATTATCTTTCCTGATAAATACTGTCTTTTTGTCAGTTGGGTTGCTTTTGTGTATGTTATGCTAAAGCCTAACCATTTGCGGTCACTTGTGTTTCTCCAGAAATACACAGCCTTGATTCGTATAATACATTACAGTGTGCGTACTGTTTTCATTCATTTTGAATATAGGTTTGA